GTTAGATCTACATTAGAGGCGTTTTTTTTGTTATTATTTTATGATTAAGTTGTTATTTTAGACTTAGGCTTGTTAAAATAAAATTAGCTTGCGTGTAACAGAAACTTGGATAAAACCGTATGTTAGATCTACATTATAGGCAGTTTTTAGTATTATTTTATGATTAAGTTGTTATTTTAGACTTAGGCTTATTGAAATAAATAAGCGTGCTAGTAACAAAGACTTGGATAAAACCGTATGTTAGTTGTATCATTTAAGGTAAGGGAACTATTTACTGTGGTGCTGTTCATTTGATCACATGTCCATTGATGTGTATGAAATAATTTGATTACACTAATTGTGATTAACTAACATGTTATTATATGTTTTTATGCAAGGCCATAGCGTGTATATTTTTAGGCCTCTACTCGTTATGTACAGTGTTTCTGTTTCTTCCAGACTTTTTTTCTGGGGGGGTGGGGGGGGGGGGGGCACTTGAATTTTCGGGGGGGGGGGGGGGGGTGGACTAACATTTCCGGAGGGCGGAGATGCTAGTCCCCCCCCCCCCCCCCCGAAGAGATGCCTGGAAGAAACTGATTATGTATCACATATGTATTAGTGTATGTATTTTTTTACTTTCTCGTACATACGAAGTATAGAGAAAGTATTGTAATCGTGCAAAAAAAAAAATCGAGATTTTTACAAATCTCGACGTTTTACACCTCACTGATACGGAAAAACATAATTTTGCAATCTTGTCCGTATGTCTGTGTGTGTGTGTGTGTCTGTGTGTCTGTGTGTCCGTGTGTAAACACGATTACTTGAGTACCGTTACAGCTAGGTTGATGAAATTTCATATATAAGTATTTTATCAAAATCGTAGATCCGTATCAACTTTTGAGCGATTTTCGATAACCGGAAGTGGTACTTTTACTACTTTGAATTTTTCAAAAGCCTATAACTTGAGTACTATTTCAGATAGATACATGAAATTTCACATGTAAGTAAAAGATCTAATTCTCTACCTTCTGTTAAATTTTGAGTAATTTCCGTTGACTGGAAGTAGTAATTTACGCTACTTTCGATTTCTCAAAAAACTAATGTAAATTTTAGAAGTACTAATAATATTGCGCACTATTATGCGCTTTTTTATTTGGCGTTCACTTGGTGTGCAATTAATCTGTCTACGAGATTTTATTCTATTTTTAAAACTTTAAGTATTTTAAATGGATTAAAAATCATGTCTATAGCCCGAGTTCCCATCCCCTGTTATTTTGTATAAGAATATTCGAGAAAGTTCAGGGGAGATCACTCCCGGTTTATTTGATTTTCGAACTTTATTTTGAGATAGTTAAATGTATTAAATTTAAAAGCTATTACGTTTTAACCCATCACTAGAAGTTCATAAAAAAGAATAAAAAGACATGCTTTAAAACGTTACTAAAATTGAAGAGCCAAGTACTAAAAGTCTTAAATCACATTTTTGTGAAAATCAAACCAAGCAATGATCGTTATTCCTGTAGTTTAACTTTATCTTATATACAAATAGTAATACTGAAGAATTTATTTAAGTGGCTCGTTCGAACAAACAAAAAGTATAAAAACGATATGTTTTATAGCAAATTTAAATCTTTGAACTCATTTATCTCAAAATGTTGTTTTTTTTACTTAAGTACTTTTAGCAGTAAGGTCTTCTATTATTAACTTTAAATGTTTCTTTTTCCACTAAACTGCCGAAATAGTTATATTTCTTGGTAAAAAAAAACAAGTTTAGAGAGGTCCAATTAAAAGTAAAATAATACTTTTTTGGGCAATTAGTCGATTTAATAGTCCGTGGGCCAAAAGGTCTTAGACTATCATTCATTTGGAAATTATTTCAGCAAATCGGCTTTCAAAAACATGGTTTCTGAAAAAAATTAACCTTTAGGAAAGTTGTTTTCGGGTAATCTTCGCAGAGCCAGTACCGCTGTAGTGTAATATCTATGCCTACACTTTTAATAGACCTACGCGCTGGTACACTCGGTTTATCAATACATTACACAGCGCGGGATGTTACATAGCAGATGCCCTTGTAGATAGTTCGTACACCGTTACCGGTAGCCTGGAAGAAACTCTGCCCTAAACCAAGACTTAAATCTAAAACTAAGTTTTCTCCCTAGCCGTATCTCTGCACACGTTAAAATATAATTATCTATTTTACCGGCGATAAGAATATGGGGGTACGGCTAATCGAAATGAACCCAGAAGAAAAGCTATACTTTGTACGGAGTGAGACGTTAAACCCGTATGCCCGTAACAAACACTAAACACTAAGCTCTTTTTAAAAATATGTAGATATTTGCTTGTAGAAAACTTTCGTTCTAATTTGTATACCTGCATTTTTTTTATCACAAATAATTAAAACAAACTAAATAGGAGAAGAAATAAAAAGTAATTTAAAATATTAACTTTGAGTTACAGAGAAATTCATTATCATAAACATGGGTTATTGCCCTCTACTAATATATATTTTTACTTTCTCGTATATACGAAGTATAGAGAAAGTCTTGTAATCGTGCAAAAAAAAAAATCGAGATTTTTGCAAATCTCGACGTTTTACATCTCACTGATACGGAAAAACATAATTTTGCAATCTTGTCCGTATGTCTGTGTGTCTGTGTGTGTGTGTGTGTGTGTGTGTGTGTGTATCCGTGTGTAAACACGATAACTTGAGTACCGTTACAGCTAGGTTGATGAAATTTCATATACAAGTATTTTATCAAAATCGTAGATCCGTATCAACTTTTGAGCGATTTCGGATAACCGGAAGTGGTACTTTTTCTACTTTGAATTTTTCAAAAGCCTATAACTTGAGTACTATTTCAGATAGATAAATGAAATTTGATATGTAAGTAAAAGATCTAATTCTCTACCTTCTGTCAAATTTTGAGAATTTTTCGTTGACCGGAAGTACTTATTTACGCTACTTCCGATTTCTCAAAAAACTAATGTAAATTTTAAAAGTACTAATAATATTGCGCACTATTATGCGCTTTTTTATTCGCGTTCACTTGGTGTGCAATTAATTTGTCTACGAGATTTTATTCTATTTTTAAAACTTTAAGTATTTAAAATGGATTAAAAATCATGTCTATAGCCCGAGTTCCCATCCCCTGTTATTACTTTCTCGTATATACGAAGTATAGAGAAAGTCTTGTAATCGTGCAAAAAAAAAAAATCGAGATTTTTGCAAATCTCGACGTTTTACATCTCACTGATACGGAAAAACATAATTTTGCAATCTTGTCCGTATGTCTGTGTGTCTGTGTGTGTGTGTGTGTGTGTGTGTGTGTGTGTGTCCGTGTGTAAACACGATAACTTGAGTACCGTTACAGCTAGGTTGATGAAATTTCATATACAAGTATTTTATCAAAATCGTAGATCCGTATCAACTTTTGAGCGATTTCGGATAACCGGAAGTGGTACTTTTTCTACTTTGAATTTTTCAAAAGCCTATAACTTGAGTACTATTTCAGATAGATAAATGAAATTTGATATGTAAGTAAAAGATCTAATTCTCTACCTTCTGTCAAATTTTGAGAATTTTTCGTTGACCGGAAGTACTTATTTACGCTACTTCCGATTTCTCAAAAAACTAATGTAAATTTTAAAAGTACTAATAATATTGCGCACTATTATGCGCTTTTTTATTCGCGTTCACTTGGTGTGCAATTAATTTGTCTACGAGATTTTATTCTATTTTTAAAACTTTAAGTATTTAAAATGGATTAAAAATCATGTCTATAGCCCGAGTTCCCATCCCCTGTTATTTTATATAAGAATAATCGAGAAAGTTTAGGGGAGATCACTCCCGGTTTATTTTTACCTTAGCTGGTCTACATTAAAAATGCGTACAGGGATTATGTGACCAGGATGGGTGGGTTTTTTTTTCCCTGGGAAACTCACCAGGATATAAAAACAAAAAACACATTAACTGTAGGCCCTATATACGTACTTAAGTAAGTCACATTGTAGAATTCCCGATTTCTATTTATAAACCATTGAGACAGTTTCTCTAGGTCAGATTAATCTGACATTACATTGGTGTGGGAGGAATGAAAGGAGACAGGTTTTTTTTTTTTCAATGCGTCTTTGTGTAACCGAAATGGGTGGGGGTGGGGGGAGGGGGGGGGTAGACGTCTGGGTGAATTAGAAAAGTATCTTGTTTAATTAAATTATTGTCTTGTATCAAAGACTTCGGAGCGTTTATCTGAATCGGTCAAAGTCGGATGTGACGAACTCTACTGTTTTAAAAAAAAAAACCAGAATTTGTCGATTAACCAGACCCACATATTTGTAAAGCTCGACTACAGTGATACTTTTACCTTTCATCTAAGCTAAGCCAAAAACTAAATCTGATCTAAATCTGATCCTCCCCTAATCCTAATCAGAGTTTCTTCCAGTCATCTCTTCGGGGGGGGGGGGGGGGGGGGGCCAAGCCCCCCCGAAATTTTTTTACCGCCCCCCCCCCCCCCCCCGAATGGAATGAAATTTATATAGAAAATATATACTTTTAACAGTGTCCCTAACATTACATTTAATCTCAGTTTAAATCTTTCGTTGCAGCTGATGTTTTATTTTCAGCTATCACAACATAAATTTACTTTTAAAAATTACATTTATTAAAAAAATACTAATAAAAGCCCTCATTTTGTATATTTTCATTAGCTATTATTGTTGGAAATAGATTGTTTGATTTATTTTAATACAAATTATGTAATATCTTTTAAACATTTCAGTTTTGCTGTAAGAAGCGAAAAAGCCCCTCGCTACCTCAAATATTAGTCTATAGCGTGAGACATTGCAAAATTTTTTTCCTAAGTGTGAGCTGACATACATCCCCCTACTCACCCCACCTCTGTGAGTGTCGTGTGAGCAACCTCAAATCCCCATCTTCCTGTAAATCCCAACAGTGAGCCGCCACCCCCCTCAACTCACCTGTCTGACCATCCTGCGAGCCACCTTCCCCCCCCCCCCCATCCATTGAGCAACCATGGCTGTGACCTGCTGCACCTGCATGCCTCACCGCTACTTCATCGTCATGCTCTGCTTCTTCGGCATGCTCATCAGCGTTGGTTACCGCAGCAACTTCGCTCTCGTCATCACGCACATCAACGCCTTCGCCTCGCCCAACGACACGGGTTCTTCTACAGATGGCTCGCTGTTTCCTAATGTAAGTTGTTGGAATAGTTGTGTCCTAATGTAAGTTGTTGGAATAGTTGTTTCCTAATGTAAGTTGTTGTAATAGTTGTTTCCTAATGTAAGTTGTTGTAATAGTTGTTTCATAATGTAAGTTGTTGGAATAGTTGTTTCCTAATGTAAGTTGTTAAAGTAGATGTTTCCTGATGTAAATTGTTAGGATATTTGTTGAAATTTAAGTTGGTGGAATAGTTGATTCCTAATGTAAGTTGTTGGAATAGTTGTTTTCTGATATCAATTGCTGTGATATTTGTTCTAATGTAAGTTGTTAGAATAGTTGTTTCCTGATGTTAATTGTTAGGACATTTGTTCTAATACAAGTTGTTGTAATACTTGTTTCCTAATCTAAGTTGATGGGATAATGGATTCCAAAGTGGTTATAATTGTTGTTCGCTATTATAAGTTGGTGTATTACTTGTTGTAATTGTGTAATTGTTGTTTCCTAATTAATGTGTAGGAATATTTGAAGTAACAGTTGTTTCCTAATATAATTGTTTGGATAATTGTTTTCTAATGTACTTTGTGATGGTATTTGTTTACTATCGTAAACTCTTAATCAGCAAGTTGTTTCATAATGTAAGTTTTTTGTCTAGTGAAAATTGTAAGGTTATCTGTTAGATAATTTCAGCTGTTAAATAAAGTAAGTGGTTGGTATAGATGTACTGTTATAGGTGTGTGGTATAATTGTTCTGTTTTATTATGATCGCTGTTTTGTTTTTCAATTTATTTTGTTTTTAACCTTGTAATTAAGATTTTACCACAAATCGATAATCCATGCTCAGCAAACCGAAAAAAAAAGATCATTCAATTTTTAATCAACTTCCTCTTTATAGCAAAGCTTTAAAAATAATGTCGTAAACCTGTGTTATTAATGTTTAATTAATTAGATTTTTAACATTTTTAACAAAAGCTTTTTGTTAAATTTGATAAATTATTTTCTCCCATATTAGATTTCGCCACTTAACATTTTGTCTTATTAAAAAACATTCCAGTGTACAACTGAGGGCACGTCCAGAGATCGTGTGACCCATTGGGACGGTTCCACCGTGTTTCTGTTCAGCACGTCTTACTTTGTGGGTCAATTGGTGGCGTCCATCCCAGGGGGAGCCATGGTGCAGAAGTTTTCAGCCAAATGGTAAGATTCTTAGATCCGTTGTGGAATGTATTCAAAGTAAACACTTTAGTGGTGGAAAAGGAAACAGTAACAAAAAATATTGCAATGGGTTTACTTTTAGAAACGAAATTTATAAAGGTTTACATTTAAAAAAAAACAAACAATAGTTGGATTATTGTCAAGATAAGATATAGGATGGGGAACAGGGTATTACCCCCCCCCCCCAGATCAATTACCCCCGAACATCCCCCCGACATAAGCCCCTGGAGAAATTACCCCCCCCCCACCCCGAAAATTTCAAGTGCCCCCCCCCCCCCCCGGAGAAAAAAGTCTGGAAGAAACACTGGAGGGGGATAATTGACAGGGGGTGGGCTAATAGTTCCGGGGGGGGGGGGGGTAATGTCCTAGACCCTATAGAATGATATGTGGAACATACTGATGATATGTGAAATATCCTGACGATATGTGGAATATACTGATCTTGCTGAATAAAAGGATAGGCTGTTGAACAATAGTAGTATATCCAATAATTAAGCACTCTCCCCTCCCTCTACCCCCAGGGTGTTTGGCCTGACCGTGCTCATCTCTAGCGTGTTGCAGATGTTGGCACCGCTGGCATCCGAGATCACGTGGTTGATTTTTGTCTTCCGTGTTGTCCAGGGTGGAGTCGAGGTAAGCTTTTTGTTTTTGTCTGCTGGTCTGGTAGTTCACCTGAACTAACTTCCCGCATTGTTTGTGTGGTGTATTTTGTAAGGTGTATTTTGTAAGGTGTATTTTGTGAGGTGTATTTTGTGAGGTGTATTTTGTGAGGTGTATTTTGTGAGGTGTATTTTGTGAAATGTATTTTGTGAAGTGTATTTTGTGAGGTGTATTTTGTGAGGTGTATTTTATGAGGTGTATTTTGTGAGGTGTATTTTATGAGGTGTATTTTGTGAGGTGTACTTTGTGAGGTGTATTTTTTGAGGTGTATTTTGTGAGGTGTATTTTGTGAGGTGTATTTCGTGAGGTGTATTTTGTGAGATGTACTTTGCCATTGAATGTCTTCTTGTAGTTTACCTGAATTTGTTTCTCGTACTGTTATTGAGGCGTATTTTGTCACTGAATACATTTCAAACGACAGAGACAGCCTATATGTATCGCTTTAACAGAGTTCCCATACGAGCATCGCTTATCCAAACAAACAAATTCCCTAAACCTATTTTTTGTGAATCCCTAAACAGCGACTTTCCATATCATCACATAGAGAGTTGTTTTCCCCGCATACAAACTTCATTAATGCCCACATACAGTCTTCTCTAAATTCCAGTCACTCCTCATTTACATAACTCTCTTAATCCACGAAGTACAGCCTTCTCTTAATCCACATCCCACAGTCTCCTCTTTATCCACAACAAACAGCCTCCTTTAATCCACCACATAAGCCTTCTCTTAATCCACCACATATAACCCCCTTAGTCCACAACATACAGCCTTCCCTTAATCTACCGCATACAGCCTTCTCCAAATCAATTGCATACAGCCTCCTTTAATCCACCACATAAGCCTTCTCTTAATCCACCACATATAACCCCCTTAGTCCACAAGATACAGCCTTCCCTTAATCTACCGCATACAGCTTTCTCCAAATCAATTGCATACAATCTCCCCTTAATCCACCACATACCGCATTCCCTTAATCCCCATACTAATCTATTTCCCAGGCCATCACAGTGCCATCTATGAATGCCGTCATATCAGCATGGACTCCAAAAGCTGAACGAGCCAGATTAATTAATTTCGCATACGCCGGTGAGTATCGCAATTACCATTGTGTACAACCTTTCTTATGACCCTATGTCCCACAAGGAACGAAAATAAAATAAAATGATTCAGTGCTATATTGTGTCGTGATACCATTCCTTCTGTTAACCATTGTATTTACATTCATTTAATATTCTCAATAACATGCGTGAGCTGTATTTAGTGCATTCAAGCAATATACATTCTAGTTACCGTATCATATACATTCTAGTACTGTGCACACTATGTTTAAGAAACGGACAATACGAAAAATACTTTCTTTACTGTAGTGTCTCCAAAACAAAATTTATTTCCACCAAATACCACTATAAGAAATACGAATAAAGTTAACAAAACGTGACGTAATTTGTTTTGGTTACTCACATCTAGGTGTGTACCTAAGTCCAGCCCTGGCTAATTTTAGCACAGGCGCGTGCTTGTGTTACGTCAGTTGGGATAGCAGTATGTATATGTATGGTAAGTCATGACCTCATTCAGCACAACTCTACTGCTTCTTTCAATTCTAATATATATATATATATATATATATATATATATATATATATATATATATATATATATATATATATATATATATATATATATATATATATATATATGTGTGTGTGTGTGTGTGTGTGTGTGTGTGTGTGTGTAAAATATATATTTGTTAAAATTAGCATTTAGCGTTAAAAGCAAATGAATGTTTAAAAATTTAATAAACTATAAATGTAATCTATCTCTGTTTTAATTAATTGTATTTCCATGTGTCTCCCCCAGGCGGGGCGGGTGTGGTTTGGACCATCATCTTCCTCCTGTTTGTCTACCCCACCCCCTTGTCCCACCCCAAGGTACTGGACGTGGAAGAACAGCTCCTCCAGCAGCAGGCTATACAGGCCAGCAGCACGGTAAGTTGTGGGGTAACGTGTATAATGTCAGCCGTCACCCTTGTCACTGGGGGAGAGGGGGGGGAGTAGGAGTGTGGTTGTTGTCCAGCACGCTTGTGATGTAAAATTGTAAATTTTAATTTACAACTGATCCCTGACACTCAATTATATTGTGTGTGTAAACTTGCACAATCACACATTTGTTGACGTGTTCTGTTAGATGCTGTTTTTTTTTTTTAAGTTTAATCTATTTCTGAGATCATGGAGATCAACTCTAAAGCTAAAATGGTTTTAAAATTTATAATGACCAGCTAGAATTGATTTTGTTTAGAATAATAATTTTTTAAACCAAAATTTGTACCTATAAAATGCTTTAAACTTTAAATAATTGTATGCATGTTTTTCAATCATTACGGAAGACAACTAGGGTTTTTTAGATTTTGAAAAAATTCCTTGATTAGTTTCCCCTTTTTGGTTTATGCTCAATAATAGACCTGTATTAAGTATTTATAGTAGAGTTTTTATTTTATTTTTCGGTTTCGTTACGCAAAAAAAAAAAAAAAAAAAAAAAAAAAAAAGCCATAAAAAATTTCAATGTTAAAATAGAATCTTTGCTTCTATTGATTTAAAATAGTAAATGCTTTACTTTATGTTTTAAAAGAACATAAAGTTACACCATTGGCTAAGAGGTTTTGTTGCAGAAGCAGCGAGCACCCCCCTACCCTCTCCACTCTATATAGACACACACACATACAGATAATAATATGTTGCAACTTAAGATGAAAAACTATAATTCAATGTGTATCGATAGACGAACAGGCCAGTTTTACGATCAATTTTTTTATGTGTATAAAAACCATGGAAAAAAAAACAATTGTATTCAAATTTCCTACAGAGGACGTCCCATGGAAAAAAAAAATTATTACACAGAATGTGAATGTCCTATGGTTAAAAAATATTTATATTTTACTACACAGAATGTGAAGGTCCCATAAAAAATATTTCTATTTTCCCATACAGAATTTAAAGGTCCCATAACAAAATAGTTCTATTTTCCCACGCAGAATGTGAAGGTCCCATACAAAATTATTTCTATATCCCCTACAGAATGTGAAGGTCCCATAAAAAATGTTTCTATTTTCCCATAGAGAATTTAAAGGTCCCATAAAAATTATTTCTATTTTCGCACGCAGAATATGAAGGTCCCATAAAAAATGTTTATATTTTCCCATACAGAATGTGAAGGTCCTATGAAAAAAAATATTCTATTTTCCCTACAGAATGTGAAGGTCCTAAGAATTTTTATTTCTATTTTCCTACAGAACTTGAAGGTCCCATGGAAAAGTTTCTTCACTTCACTGCCTGTGCTTGCCATATGGGTCGGTGCTTTCTGTCGTAACTTCATCTTTGCCATGCTCATCACAGAGATCCAACAGTACTACAAGGACGTGTACAGTCTCAGCTCGGCCATGGTAGGTCTACGGTCATCACGTGATCAGGATATGATGTCAGTTCAATGGGTATAAATAGGAATTTGGAGGGGGAGTTTTATCAGTGTCTGATAATGGGAATGGGGATGTTTCTTTACTGCTAGTCAGCTGAATACAGTTTGACCAAAACAAATATCAAATATTTAAACGTTTTATTTCATAACATTGCCTTCTAGTAATTTCTGTTTTATTTTAATTTTTCGCAGAACGGACTTCTCAATGGGCTGCCTCACATTTTTATGGGAATTTTTATGATTTTCGGATCTTTTATCTTCGACTTTTTGGCAAAAAATAATATTTTGAGCATGACAAAAGTCAGGAAATTGGCTCAAGGATCTGGTAAAAACAACACGTCAATTTTTTCTTTAAAACTTTTAACCTAAAATAATAACACAAAAAAATACAACATTCGTGAGGACATTGTCTGTTTAAAATTGTAAAATATTTTTTCTTCCTTTCGCATTTTTAAAAGCGAATCGATAAAAAACCTGGCTGCCACTTATTTCGTTTTTTTTTTCTTTAGGTTTTGGCATCCAAGGCGCCTGTATCCTGGCCATTGGTTTCCTTGACAACCACATCCATGTTTTCGTATTGTTTTGTGTTGGTGTGGCTTTTAGCGGATTTGCCATCTCAGGTGAGCTAAAGGATTCATGTTTATGTTTATTGGTATTTATTGTTTTAGGGTTCGTCCATAAATGGGAGTGGTGGGAGGGGGGGGGGGGGTTGTAACGAAGAGTGATGAGGGGGAGCTGGGTTTATATAGTGTGATGTCACGCTTTTGCATTTAAAAAAAATCATGTTAGGAACTAAATTGTAGGCATTTATATCACGTTTTTGAAAAACCTGTGTTTGTAAATTGTAATTGAAATGGATTAATGTAATCTATGTTAACTGATAGTGAATATTTTAGTAAAAAGCAAAATCGATGTTTAATAAACTTAAACTGCAATTTTTTATTTATTTTTGGGGGGAGGGGGAGGGGGTCCTGGGTTTTTTTGTGAGGATGTGTGACGGTGGGGAATTGGGGGGGGGGGGGGGGATAAAAATTGTTTTAAAAAGCGAGACGTCATTTGTGGATGACCTCTTAGACGGATCTCCGAGCATTACTTTTCTTATCTTTGAATCGACAGCTTTTTAACTCTTGGATAAAACGCGTTTACAAAAGTAATCCCTTGGCATATTAACCTTTGCCCTACAATTTACCAAACCAATTCCTTAGTTATAGTGACCTTTGCCCCTTATAAGGTTACCAGCCCACCCCCTCCCCCCCCCCCAGGTTACCAAACCAATTCCTTATTTATAATGACCTTTGCCCCCCTACAGGTTACCAGACCAACCCCTTAGAATATTGAACTTTGTCTCCACAGGTTACCAGACCAACCCCTTAGATCTGGCACCACAGTACGCTGGGCCGTTGACGGGGATCTCAAGAACAGGGATGTTGGGATCAATTATAAGCACGGTGCTGGCGTCACGCTTGACTGGAAGCACACATGTGAGTTGCTGGTGTTTTTGTTGGTAGTGGTGGTGATGGTGTTTTGTTGTTGGTGTTGTTGATGGTGTTTTGTTGTTGGTGTTGTTGATGGTAGTATCTGTTTAAATACGATGTTTTGTTGTTGTTATTGGTGATTTGTGTTGTTGATGTTGGCTTTTATAGTGGTGATGTTGTTTTTGTTGTCGGAAGTGGTGGTGTTTTGTTGTTATTGGTGTTTTGTGTTGTTTATGTTGGCTTTGGTGCATGTGTTTCGTTATTAGTGTTGTTGATGGTAGTATTTGTGTTATTCTATTGGTTGCAGTGGTGATGGTGCTGTTGTTTTTTATTTTCTCTATGATGATAGCTTTGGTTTATTATGTAACCTCGAGTATGCACGTATGTCTCAGCAAACGAAAAAATTGTTGTCATCTTTCATATCTGTGTGAAACGTGAGAAAAAAAAAACTAAACAAAATGCGTCTTTTTAACATGATTATTTTTTAAAAATTTGTATCTAATTGTTATATGATTAAGGCTTTTGTGTAAAATTATAGAAGATTGTGTGAACTATACCTTTTAACAAATATTAACACAAATCTTCAAAAAAAAATGACTTAGAGATTGTGTTATTGTCGTAACGATTTGTTCTGAATGTTGATTAGACTGCATTTTAACAGAAGGGATAGTAGCAGACACGCATCGACATATTGATTTAAAAAAATCACATTTCGTGCGTTTACTAAACAACTTTATTTTTTTTCTTTCTAGAGTCTCAAGGACTGGCAGATTCTCTTCATCATCGGCGGCAGCCTTCACCTTGCCGGGGTCGTCTTCTACAGCATCTTCGCCTCCGGCAGCTTACAGCCGTGGGCCAAGCCAGAGTTCCAGCAGAGCGTGGAGGCCGGGGATGAGGAAAGTAGCGACGAGAGAAGCGCCTTGGTCAAACAAAGCGTCCCCGAGTTTATCCCTTCACCGACATACGGGGCGTTTTCAAATGACGCAACTTGTACCAGCATTCAGAGTCGTTGATTTTTTATTCTCATACAGGACATTTTAGGGTAATTTAACATGTTCCAGCATTCAGAGGAGTTGATTTTTTATTCGCATACGGGACATTTTAGGGTAATTTAACATGTTCCAGCATTCAGAGGAGTTGATTTTTTATTCTCATTCGGGGCATTTTGGAATTCAATTTGCTCTAACATCCAGATGGGTTGATTTTTATTTTCACATGGGGCATTCTCTGATTAGGGAACTAGCAACGTTATCATTGGGGTTAAAAATCATTCCAACACGGGGCATTTTCTAATGAGGTAACATTCTCCATCATTCAGAGATGTTAAATTTTATTCCCATACTTGGACATTTTAAGACGATGGAATTTATTGCAGTATCAAGACGGAGGAAGTATTTTCAGAAACAAAACCCCTTCAACTACCATCTAGTGAAGCCAGCTGTATTCAGATTAGTGAACCGTTTCCAAATGTGTATGTTTTGGTAAAAGTGTGAATTTTGTGAATGAGGCAGCGACAGAAATGGACTTCTTCTCTTTACAACGCCCAAACTAAATTTGTTATGGCAGAGTATAATTTGATAACTTTTTGTGCGGGTGATTGTGTGAGCGTGTGGTGACAAGACACATGTGTGTAATGTGTGAGTGTATATTTTACATAATGATGTGTGAATGCTTGTGTGTGGTATTTTATTTGTGAAAGTAGCAATAAACATTTAAAAGAACGCAAGTTGTGTAATGTTTTATAATCTGAATTTAAAACATGTATGTGTGAGAACATCCCATAATTTGGCTGAATTCTTATGTGAACAATCAATGTTAACTTAGCCTTAAGACTTAGTATGTTACATTGATCTCATTTTGTTCAAATAATGTAATTATCTAAATGTCTAATGTACATTCAAATTGGAAAAAAAATATTTTCTATCTTATTTTTAATATGAAGTCGGCATTTTTTAAACAACAGCTATATTTCTCTTTTTTTTTGTTTAAATTATTAACATTGTATTTGTATATTCAATGTGTTTCGTTAGGTTTTGGCGTCAAGTATACATACAGCTTTGAAGATGCAATAAAACGAAGAGTATTAGCATAATTCTAGTGACGAAAAAGGAAAAAAAAAATTTTTACAAAGTGTCACCAAATTTAAGAATTTGTTGTTGATCTCTTCAGTTGAGAATTATTTGCTTTTTGTTTGATAAGACTGCAAAATTTCTGTATAAAATTTTATTACCTAGCTTCAACGTGTAAAAAAACAATATATGTACCACAAAAAACAAATTAAGGACCTATTATATTTGTGTTTTCAATTTCATTTGTGATTTCATGCTACATCAAAACTGATATGTGATATTATTGATTTTAATTTATTTTTAAAGTGAATAAAATAAATTGAAAAGTTTATCGTTGATTACATTTGTAACAAAAAATAGTGTCATTTTAATGAATTAATATTGTGTCAATGTTAAAGATTATTTTGTTTTTAAATTATCAATATATGGCTTATAATTTTTACAACCGTAATCTAGGTTTTGAATTTTCGCCATTGAACTATTATTGAATACTTACAGTGTCTCGAATTTTTCTTAAAACTGCTTTCGCATAATTTCTTTTTCTTTTAATTTTATTATTTTATTATCACTGTCACTGTACATAAGGTCGGCAATCCACTTAGTGTCTAAATAGTGTAATGATGTGTTAATGTAAGGACACGAGAAAATACATCCATTAGATCTGAAACGTAAAACAGTGTCTTAAGTTGAGGATAAACGAATGTACAAAGCTGTGGTCAACTATTTGGAACTTTTCAAATATTTATTGTAAAATCGAAACACTTTATCACAGATAGTAAAGAAAAATGTAACAAAATATTTTTTAATGTACAAAATAATGTATCAAATTAAGTTTAGAATGCATTGCATAAATTTGAGAAAAATTAAGAGGAAATGTTAGATACATTTCAAATTAAATCATATTTATTATCAGGTTTTTTTTACCCACTAACGTTTGGAATAAACTAGTGAAAAAAGCGGACATCAAGTTGAAATACTGGGCCAAGTTTTGCAGTTGTGGTTCTTACCTTACCAGCTACAAAATAAAAACAAAAACGATGTCCACATGATATTGAAAATTGTATTTAACCAATTTAGACTTGTTTCATCTAGTGAAAAATCAAAATCCTTAACTCTCTCTCTCTCTCTCTCTCTCTCTCTCTCTCTCTCTCTCTATCTATCTCTCTCTCTTTCTCTGTCTATCTCACTCCCTCTCTGTCTCTCTAATTATATCCTCTCTTGCGTACTCTTTGTTCTGATTTTCACTTTAACCTCACAATATTCCTTAATTGTTAAGAATAAAAACTTTTTTTTTCTAGAGTTTTCAAAACAATAAACGTTTTCTGGTTATAAATAATTAACCTTTAGAATAGAGCTAACTTTAAAAAACAATAGGTTTAAAATACAAACGGGAGGTACATAAGGTGCTTTAAATGTGCAGCTATACTTTGTTCTTATTGAACAAAAACCGTTCTTTAATTAATGTGAATAAGAATCTCCTGTCAAGAATAAATAGTGTGCTTTCAAAAAAAAAAAAAAAAAAAAACTACAACCAAAAATGTTTTCAATAAAAGTGCACTGCTAAAAATATTGTATCTAAATATTTGTATGAATTTAAAAACAAATGGTACTTCACCACTAGCGATAAATGTAACAATATATATATATATATATATATATATATATATAATATATATATATATATATAATATATATATATATATATATATATATATATATATATATATATATATATATTATATATATATATAATACATAAAGCTCTGAATTTACAGCCCAATTTTATTAAGAGCTTCACGTAAAACAATTTTTTAATGTTGATGGTTCTAAATATTAAAAAGTAAATTTTCTATGTTTAATTCTCTATTCGATGTTAACATCTTTATACATATTTAAAAAAAATGTGCAAATAGTTGCGTAAATACCACAATTGTGAAAATAATATTCAAACAATTCACCCTGTATTTTAAAATAAAATGGACAAACCATCGAAAGCTTAAAACGCAGTAGCGTGAACTAATTTTGATGAAAAGCCCCGCTCATTATTGGTGACATTGAAGGCATCCGTCTGTTTTTTTTTTTATTTCGCTTCCAAAGTGGCCGAAAATAAAATAAAAACAAAGTTTAAAGCTAAAAAGAAAAACGATTCTGTAATTTAATCTCGTAAGAATCATTGCCATATAACTGTCCAATGCGGGGAACTTAATATTTTTTTTGCTTATAGGGTTAATATGCCATATCAACCTGACATTTTAACCTGAAGTTTCACTTTAGTAAGACAAGCTTTAGATGCATCAATCACTTGGTCATCTTTCATTTTTTTAGCTCCCACAGTTTACTCAAAACTTTACCGGTAATCAATAAACTTTTGAGCGACTTTTGTTTGTTTACAACTTTGAATTAAAAATGAGAAAACTAAAAATATGTTTGCCTAAAGCTTTTGTTGATACTTTAAACATGAAATATCTCGTATACTCAGAAAAGGCATACTAAAAACATCATTGGCTTTTCATAACCACATCTCATTTTTTAAAAATGAAGAATATATAAGACTACTTTGGAAAAAAATGTTAATGCATTAGCAATAAACACATTTTTGAAGCGTTTAGAAATTTTAGTTCAAATAAATGAATCTTTGTGTAAAATGGTGAAAACAGCATAGTTTGATAAGCAAACGTGTAATTATATTTAAAAATCAAATGGCTGCTCAAGAAAACCAAAACTTCTAAATGTAAATATAAATCTAAATTATTTTTTTTTACAAATTTGTATTTACTATTGCAACATTTAGATTTAGCAAAGGATACTATACACTTTTGTGATAGAAATCTTATAAAAAGATTGGAAAGTTAGAAACAATCAACATAAAAATAAAACTGTAGACACCCTTATATATTTACACGGACATGAAACAGAGATGGATCTACAGCAAAGTTCCTCCCTAAGTAATTAATATTTGTTTTGTAGGTTGTATTAGTACCACCAAATTTAACATTCAGTGCATATATATTATATTTTAAAATATACATGTAACAGATTTAATTGAAGCAAGTGCTTCTTGAAGTCTAAAATCAATCGTGTTTTTCTTTGTCCAGTGTATGTGTGTATCCAGTCAATCAATCGTCTGCTTCCTTTTCCACGAGCCCCAACTTCTGCCCAATCCATCGAGCCTTGGCGAGAATCTCTTCCTGCATGAGCGAGAAACACATGGACAAGATGGCCATACCGAACAACACGTACACACTTCCCAGCAGCAACTGCGCCTGCGCCTGGGGGTTCTCAAAGTCTGTGCCCGGAACTACGTCACCGAATCCAATGGTGCTGAGCGTGATGAAGCAGAAGTAAGCCGACTGGAGCCAGTCCCAGCCCTCCCACAGCCCGAAGAGGACGGCGCCGCCGAAGATGTAGCCGCCGATAACGATCATGGTGATGGTCAAGGGCACGGTGATCTTCTCGTCGATGTCGTCGTCGTCGTCGTCACTGTCCGAGTCGTCATCTAAGATAACAGGGTCGTTTTTCTTCAGGTCCAGGGGGACGATTTTCACCTGCAGGAAAGTCATAACAGATATTTCATCAACGAATGGAATCAACAACATTCTTTGTAATTGGTAATGATTACCATTGTCTGTTTGAAGTACTTGGTGTGGTCAGTGATGGATCAAAGGCCTAATTTAAATTTCATGACGCCCTAAGCCACTACAGATACTAACAAACCTTAGATTTACTGTGTAAACGTAAGTGTAACCTTGGTTTTTTAATGGTTAATATACTAGAGAGTCCCAGGTTAGAAACAGTAATTCGTTGTTTATTATGTAATGCATAATCAAAGTTTTTAATTTTATTATTATTTGTATTTTATTACGTTGGAAATGCTTAAAGGAGCTCAAGAACAATTTGGCCCGCAGGTTGTTGTTTAGTTTTTCGGCGTATCAACAACTAAGTGGATTATACAAAATGCTAGCTGTTTTTTTACTTTGTTTAAAATAATAGACGTTTTAAAAAACAAAAATTATTGCTTTGAAAAGTGTACGAGACATGTATACAACTAAACAGGTGGGTATTTATAAAGAATTTAAAATATTAAACTAAATAACACAACAGTTGTAGAATAAGAATTCATAAAGCTTGACAACCAAATGGCTACCAGCTTTAGATGTTTCTTGCTCAAACCTAGAGCCTAGAGTTAACCATTGAGCAGACGACACGTACCTTGCCCCTACTGGAGTTGCTAGATGTGGGTCTCAACTTGCGGGTGTCGCTCATGTCCATGCTGTCTGTTGGTGAACTGGTGGAGATTCGCGTGAACTCGGTGGACGCTGGTGGACTGGAGTTGGTCATGTCTTAGAGTAAAGTCAAGACGACATGCTTAAAATTTATTAGATCACAGTTTTAAAACGTTAAGTAAATTGTATAGTATTTCAAAATTTTAAAAAACTTGCGTCCTTTGTGTTTTTAGATGGTTCTATTAGTGTTGATGACTTCCATGAAAGTCGTAAAGTAATCTTTAGAAGAATTAACCTTAGCAGCGAGGAGAATGTTTACCATTGTGCTTAGCAGTTTCAAAAAATACGGTATTAATACGGTATTAATATATCATGTTAAAATACGTTCTGCTAGATTGGTAGAAGGCTAATAAACATCGTTAAAATACGTTTTACCTGCTAAGTTTTTCTTGTCCGAGTCCCACTGACCAGCGTTGTTGCTGTCGGAATTCTTCAACGAAACAACCTGCAAAAAGAAAGTAATTTTAATATTAGCCAATTACTGAAAACTAAGTTATGATAAAACATTATTTACATTTTTTAAACACATTGATATTAAATCTGCTTTATGTTGGAAACGTGCTATTATATATTCAGCCATATTCCATGATTTACATGACATTTCTGCTAGGCGGTAGATAGCTCGAATGCTAGCCCGAAAGTCACGAGTTCGGATCTCGGAATGGATTCATTAGGAAGTCTAAAGATCCACCCAGTAATGAAAGGTACCTGGTTTACATTTGGGAAAGAAACGGCGGTTGGGCTTAGCAGTAATAAAAAAATCCATTCATATTTCGTGGTCGAGAAATAAATTAGCTCTACCCCATCAGACAAATGAACTGTCAGGTCCAGATATGGATCTATAATTTGATTCCATGATGCAAAATCAGATTAAATTATGAGTGTTAATCTAATGGAAATGTGTCGTGCGAACAAGACACTGCATGTTGCTGCTAAGAAATTAAACATTACATATTTTGGTGAACTGTTTTTATTTTTATCTTAGCAGATCGATGTTTAAATAACTTATCAATCGCAATAACTTAAAAGTCACGCAAATGCAGTTCATAATAAACTATATTGCCCGGGGGAAATGTGCTTTGCTAATAAATTACGTTGTGCACATTAAAACTATTAAAACAATTTAAAAAAACCTATCAGAATGGCATTCAAATCAATTGACTCTCTATAAAGTCAATGTAAAATTAAGAATAAAGGAAAGTCCCCCACCTTGTTGTTGCTCTCCTTACTTTTCTTCTTCCCCTTGAAGCATCCGCAGCAGCAAATCTTGGCGTAGATGAAGCGAAAGATGTCAGCCAGGGCGTCTCCCAAGTTGGCCAAACAAAGCAGCATCAATGGGATCCCTAGCACGGCGTAGGCGATACAGACCAGCCGGCCCCAGACTGTCTTGGGTGCTATGTGACCATAGCCTGTAGGTGTTAAAGACAGAATCTTATAGACATTAGACCGACTTGGGTGCTATGTGGCCTGTAGGTGTTAAAGACAGAACCTTATAGACATTAGACCGTCTTGGGTGCTATGTGACCATAGCCTGTAGGTGTTAAAGACAGAATCTTATAGACATTAGACCGTCTTGGGTGCTATGTGACCATAGCCTGTAGGTGTTAAAGACAGAATCTTATAGACATTAGACCGTCTTGGGTGCTATGTGACCATAGCCTGTAGGTGTTAAAGACAGAATCTTATAGACATTAGACCGTCTTGGGTGCTATGTGACCATAGCCTGTAGGTGTTAAAGACAGAATCTTATAGACATTAGACCGTCTTGGGTGCTATGTGACCATAGCCTGCAGGTGTTAAAGACATAGCATATAGACATTAGACCGTCTTGGGTGCTATGTGACCATAGCCTGCAGGTGTTAAAGACAGAATCTTATAGACATTAGACCGTCTTGGGTGCTATGTGACCATAGCCTGCAGGTGTTAAAGACAGAATCTTATAGACATTAGACCGTCTTGGGTGCTATGTGACCATAGCCTGCAGGTGTTAAAGACAGAATCTTATAGACATTAGACCGTCTTGGGTGCTATGTGACCATAGCCTGCAGGTGTTAAAGACACTAATATAATTCCACAGTTGCCAAACATCCATTCACCCAACCTACGATCTTTCTAAAATGCCATACCTTCACCTTCTCACCCTTCTTATTCCTCGAAACCTATATTTCTCTTACTTTATAACATTCCCTTATCCCACGTCCCACCTCTTAACCATCTATCATTCCGTTTTATCTATCAAATATTACAACTCTCCATCCTTCCATCTTTCCACCCCCAATCACCCTACTCCATATTTCAGGTACTGTCATAGACCCTTCCACTCTTGTTACACTTTAACATTTTCAACTCTTATATAATTTCCGGCTTTATTATTCTTAGAGAATATTGTAGGAGAAAAAAACCTGAAGCTAACTTTAAAAGCCATTTCCTCAAACAATTGACCAAAAATGGGAGAAAAAATAATTAAACTTTGATTATAGTTTCACATGATTACACCTTCACAAAATCGATCAGAAATAAAAACTGGGAAATGACCGAAACAATAACTTGAACACAAAATTTTATCAATCAATCAATCGAGGAGCGATTTTTTTTCTCAACCAGACAACGACCTTGAAAAAGATAACAAAAATTCAGTTTTTCACTGAAGTGTTGGGTCGACACTTCTTTTGTGTAGTTAAACTCAGATATGTTTCATAATAGCTTTTCTTTATTTGTAAATGATAGTTCACGTAATATAAAACACAAATTCAAGTCGATATTGTACCCTAATTCTGTGTCATATAACGTTTAAAAACATGTTCAGAATCAATGTTTCTTCCAGACTTTTGTCTCCGGGGGGTGGGGGGGGGGGGGGGGACACTTGATATTTTCGAGAGGGGGGGGGGAGGCGGTAAAAGTATGTTTTCAAGGGAGGCCTGGAAGATACTGTTCAGAATTTCAATGCATATTACATATTAGTTTCAAAATCTCTACCGCAATATTTACCGACAGCAAATAAAGTCTGGTACTTCTAAAAAGCCATTAAATTGTATATAACACGTAATTAAAATGTATTAAAAATACATATTTAAAATTTCATATATATATATATATATATATATATATATATATATATATATATATATATATATATATATAGGCCTACTTTTGCTACTTTAAAATTAATGTAGGTTTTTCTTGAGAAGTTGAGCACATATTGAGTCTGACACAAAACTCAACCAATCTATATACAACACAGTATAACATATAAACATATCCCCCTACTCCAAGTTAAGACTCCCTATGTTACAATTTCAAAACCTGTTATCGATTATCACAATTAAGATACATGGAATCGGCATCAAACTTTAAACGTAACATTACCGATAATTTTTTTTTCGCTGTTTTCAAAGAACCTTCGAATATGTATGTTTTCAAAGTAAAAGATAAATGTATTCAAAGCTTAAACCTAAATGTAAAAATACTAAAAAAATTGTTATGTTCTTTTGTCATTGACACATTATTTTGTCCCGATACACGAACGCTGCTGGTCACAAATACCTCGGACTACGAACACTTTATTCACCCAATTAAGTTCCTAACCCACCATCCCGTTACATGTATGGACCCAGGAGTGAAAAAAAAATAAACAACTTCAAAAAACTATTAAATTTAATTTAATGGAAAAATCAATCCGCTCACAATAGGGAAAAAAAATCAATAGCCAGCCCACAAAATGGCCTTAGACAAAAACAAGTTGAACCAGGTTTTGAAGTACTTGAGGTTCAATCAAACTGAACATGAACCTCACAACCCTCTGCTATCTCGATTTGCGAATCGATCTGATCTAGGATATAACAATGGATTGTAAGCAATAACATCCAACTCAATATACGTGGCCTTATCTTTATATATATATATATATATATATATATATATATATATATATATATATATATATATATATATATATATATATATATAATTTGAAGGTCTCAATACGATAAGTAGTCCATACTGGGTCATAAACACAGGGAATATATTTCATCATAAATTTATAAATATATTTTGTTATAATACATTTTTTCATCTTCTTTCTCGGACATGTGGTGCTTCATAGTTTTACAAAACATAATAAATTTGATCTAATTCTAGGTAGTTTCGTTACTTTTGTTGAGATATACCACTGGAGAGTTTTATAGATCTCAAAATAACCTTGATCTAATTATAGCTAGTATTGTTTACAAATTCAAGATCAATGTAGGAGCATACGTTCGAAAAAAAAAGAATTGCAGTTGAAGCAGAGTTAATGTGTTTAAATGTTTCAGCAAGCGTCATTAAGAAATGGGCTGACGATTCTATTCCAGGTCCCACCATCACAACCCTTTACATACATGACTATAACTGATGCTGCAGTAATGATAGGTGTGTGGGGGGATTGTGTTTAGGGGGGGGGGGACACCAGCATGACGTCATGCAAAGCTTTTGTTATGAATATTTCATTTATTAGCTAGTTTCGGGTTGTTGTTTTTTTTGTTTAAATAATGCACACTCAGCAATTTCGTCTTTCCCTGCTAGAATAAGTTACTACTCCCACCCCCTCCCTTCTTTTTCTGAAATTAGTATTCCTCTTTAAACAAGTCTTTAACTTTTAACATTTCGCTTCCCGCTAGTCTTTTTTTATCTTTAGACTATTTCTCTCAACTGATTCCTCTCCTGTAAGTTTTTCCACAGTTTGCCTCCTTAGCCTTCAACAAAACTGTCCCTCTCTTTCCTCCTCGCCTCTGCCTGTAGAAGCTTTAATTCCTCTCTCGTCAGTGACGTTGTTTACCTTTTGTTTACGCTCAGTGGCCATCTTGCGGCGTCTTGGTTACGGCAAGGACCGACACTAACACAACAGTTTTTTTATTCATACCGAAGACAAAGCGATAATTGCATTGTTTTTACGCGTGGTCGCTAGGGGGCGTCTCGCACAAATAATCGCGTTTCGGTACAAAATACTCGCCGGCCACTGTATAAGGGTATGAGTTATTTCCCTGTGATGTTATGAGTTATTTCCCTGTCAGTGAATAAAAAACCCACTCAACGTTATTTTATTGGTAATTAAGTCTTGAATATATTATAAGCTTGTAACAATATCTAGTAAATATCTAGAGTAACCTACAGGTCAAGATAAAGATATGGATGGGGGGGGGGGTGGTGATTGTGGGGGAGAATGTTATGGGTAATATACTTAGTGATGGTGACATGGAATGATTTCATTATGATATCCACAAAAAGAGTTCGTTGGCAACGTGGCTAAGCTCGGCCTCATGTTCATAGGGAATAATTCATATATAAGTATTCACACAAATATATATATATATATATATATATATATATATATATATATATATATATATATATATATATATATATATATATATATATATTCTTACATAGTTTGAGTGTATTTGAGACTTAGTTTCCAACTTCTTAACACACAAAACTCTATTTTTAAAATATAGATTTTCCTGACCTTTTATTCACCATGTCCTTTATCATCAAAAAGTAATGTCTTTCTTTATGCAAAAATACAATCGATATTCCAATCAATAGACGAACAATCTTTAGTATCGATTTCGATGTCAGCTATTGATTTAAGGAGATTTTCTTTTTCAGAAATTCAGGACAGCATTGATCTAAAAATAGATCCTAGTTTCTAGACTTTTCTGAAACACTTTAAATTTCAATTCCGATTCATAAAGTACAGTTCCTCCCAAAAAGTGACCACTCGACAAAAACTTGTAACACGGTCATACAAATGACGTTCCTTGCACGGGGATATTGACATTTCTGGAGCGTGAGATAGGATGTAAATCTCTAAGTGTTACGAAAATTTTTATTTAATTTAAACATTGCATTATCCTACTGAATTGCGTCTATTGTATCCATTCATTAGACTGATCGTTTTTAATGTGTTCTATAAGAATTTTCAACGATCCACTACATTTTTACTGCAACTGCTAACCTACAGACTTGGCAAGGCCCAGTCTATTCTAACATAACACTCAAAATTCTATTACATGTTTAAGAGTCTCCCAAATAAAGGCAATGAAGAAATATTGTTCAGTAGACAATAAAGTCTTTCAGTAAAACATTTTTTTCTCGTTATAACTTTACTGATTCATATTTGCAATTATAGCTCCATATTAAAAACAAACAAAAATGTTCAATGTAATCTTCAAAAGCTAGAGATTTAATAAGGTAGGCACTTTGATTTGTGCAGAGTTCGTTCTCCTTCTTGCACTAGTGAGTTGGTCCAAAGTCTGTCTAGAACATAACGCACTGACACATATACTGGCAACTTTTGAGACACCGCTGATGCCAGTGTGTATGGGTAACGGCTTTCCTTTAAGCACATCAGCTACTGGAGTGATGGGCCCTGATACAAGGGCAACATCTGACTATATTCAACTTGCTGCCCAACATTTGAGCCCTAAAGAAGACAATCTAGCAACACGGACAGTTGAGAAACACGGACATTTGCGAAACACAGACAGTTGGGAAACACGGACATTTGGGAAACACGAACATTTGGGAAACACGGACATTTGGGAAACACGGACATTTGGGAAACACGGACATTTGGGAAACACGGACATTTGGGAAACACGGACATTTGTGAAACACGGACATTTGGGAAACACGGACATTTGGGAAACACGGACATTTGTGAAACACGGACATTTGTGAAACACGGACATTTGTGAAACATGGATTATTGGGAAACGCGGACAGATGGAAAACACGGACTTTTGGAAAAAAACAGACTATTGGGAAACACGGACAACATATTGCAATGAGCTGGTGGTTCTCCACAACTACAGCAAACACCGCAGAACTGATGAAAACACAAACATCCACACCTAGGTACAATTCTCTAATTGTCTGCCGAGACCAAGGTAAAATTATAATGCCTGGTCACCGAATCCTTTCTCAGCACCCCCCCCCCCCACACACACACAAACACACTCATTAGCCCCAGTTGAAACGGTTCTAATTCTCTTTTCTTTTAAAAGCATACATCTTCGATAATTTCTTCTTTTTCAAAAAAAACAAAACAACAAATCCGCTATTATTTTCCATTGTACATGACACATCCTTGATATTTTCTTTTTCCATTTACAATATACATCCTAGAAATCTTGTACATTTAATCCCTACTTACAAATTGATGTCTCGATAAATTTTTTTCATCTTACAACATACTTTAATACTTCCTTTATTATACTCAGTAAATTATTTCTTCCTTTGGAAAACATATAAATATTTTTGGCTTGCTTTTTGTAACTTACTATTGATTTTCTTATCACCATTATTCTGATAAATTGAAATCCATTTGTATGTTAATACTCCTATTTTGTATTTTAGCCATATATTTGTAACTTTATTCAGTATTTTCAACATTGGGGGGGGGGGGAGCATTTTATTCACCCCGAGAAACAGAGCAAATTAGATAATCACCTTCTGTTATTAAATATATTAGAGGTTTCATTCAATCATATAATATTTCATAGGGTCTGAGAGATGTTATATAACAAAACATGAATGTTGATGTTCTATGGAAGTGTTCGATAAATTATGAAATAGGTATGACTAGGGATGTGTGATTTGTGTACATAAAGTTTAGTGAAAGCTCTTTTGGCGATGGGAAAGAAGGGAGTGTTGTCTCGTAAGTACAAAACACGTAGTGAATTGGAGAGGGGGGATGAGGAAAGAAACAGAAGCCAGGCGTAAACCCCACAGGTCTTGTAAGATAATATAGGTTGGAGAAACTCTAGGTTCTTATCCTTGTTGCAACATGCCTTGATTCGGTAATGACGTTTACGAAAGGACGATGATATATATATATATATATATATATATATATATATATATATATATATATATATATATATATATATATATAAACAGAGAGAGAGAGAGAGTGCTCTTTTCTTAAGCGACAGCTTATCTCAATATAAACAAGTATAAATCTAGCCCAGTCTTACAAAAAAAGTCAGTTCCCACCCAGCGTTAGCCGGCCATCCCAGGTTAACCTTTCACACAACAATCAACTCGACACAACGGGCTCAGGTTTCAATGACGCACGTGAGAATCGATCAGGTAAACAAACCACCCCTCACAGCTGCGCACCTTGTTGACACCTTGAGCTGGCCCTTGATCAAGCGGTCGTCACGAGGTTGTTTCTATAATTAATTTAATTAGGGTTTAAGGAATTTGTTTAAATGTTAAACTTTAACGAGAACTAATTTATGGTTGTCTAAGTAAGCAATAAAACCTTTATTTACAAAGGATTGCGTGAAAAGTTGTATTTCTCAGGCTAGTTTTGCGGTCATATATATATATATATATATATATATATATATATATATATATATATATATATATATATATATATATATATATATATATATATATATATATATATATATATGATTGTTTGTGGGTGTGTGTACATGTGTGTTCATTTTCCACAATGATTTCTACCAATATTTACTACACACCTAATAATTAGAGACTTATGTAAGCATGTCACACACACCCCAATAAACATTTAGCAATAGATATTGAAATCACACAAGGCGTGCTTGGTACGAGACAGACATGTACTTGTGAGATAATTAATGCGTAATGGCTGCTGCTATTGTTTATGTCGTCACTCCCTGAGGTCGTGGCTAACATGCACATTGTGTGATTTGAATAGTCAGAGGTTTTAATGTAAGGAGGATCAGGTAGTCAATGGAAGAGTGGGAAGGTTTGAACAATCTACTTAGGGGGTCCTGAATCTGGTGCGGCGACAAGGGGGGGGGGGGATTTGTAACAATGGAGGAAAGAGACAAAAGGGCGTAGTGTTTTTTTTTTTAGTTAAGGAAAGATGGGTGTTGTTAAATCGAGAGCGTTGATCTGAAGATTGTCTATTGGTACACGATGTTAAGTGTCCATGGACTAGAAGATGGGTTGAAAGAGGTGGACATGAATGAGACTCTAAGGACCTGATACTCAACTCGTAGGTCATTGATCCTACAACCCATAGGTCAGTCATGTTACAACCCATAGGTCTAAGGTCATTGATGTTACAACCCATAGGTCAGTCATGTTACAACCCATAGGTCTACGGTCATTGATGAAAAAAAAACATAGCTCAGTCATGTAAATAATCGTAGGACACTCATGCCATAAGTCATAGGTCATTCATCTCACAACCCTTAGGTCATTCACCCCATAACTCACAGGTCATTCATTACCTACACAATTAAATAAGCCATGTTGACCTAAACTAAATGACCTAAAGACCAAGTGTCCTGACATGACTATTGTCATAACCCATAGGCGCTTCTAGAGTATCGATATAATAATAGCCAGGATCGATATGCAATACGAGCAATAAATTATCCTCGATCAACTCTCGTTGTTTGCCCGTGTTTCGAGCGGTATCGTGCGGCGATAATCTGTGTTATCTACAGCAGGTATCGATTCCTGATCCCGGCTATTCGTGTACGCGAAGCAAACATCCATTACATTCCCGAATTAAAGCATGTTGGTTTAATCATTCATCATTCACGGGATACAGTAGCAAAGGCTTTTTTACTCATGAAAGTAGCTGATTTTTTACTTATTAGTAAACAGAATACAAAAACAACTATTACGTTTTCACCACATTCAATACCATTAAGATTCTACATTCAGATATGTGTTCTGAAATATATATATATATATATATATATATATATATATATATATATATATATATATATATATATATATATATATATATATATATATATATAATATGTGTATGGGGGTGTGGGTGTACTTCGTGAGGTAAATGTGATGGTGCTGCAATTGAAGATGTGCTGTTTTCTTGCTTGTAGAAATGTATGGCACTCAACATAGGATCTTATCAAGTCAATGTTTTTATCCCATGCGGGTGTCGAGAGAAACTACAGAAAAACAGCTTATACGGTTGTTCCTTTTTTTGTTAATAAACTTATATAGTTTAACGATTCATGTTGATGTGTATCTCCAAAGTACGTTGTTTAGGTTTTAAGATTGTGTTACTAAGAATAAATAAAATAAAATCTGATTGATTGTTTACTAAATGCATATGATTGTTAAGTAAATGCTTAAAGAGGGTCGTAATAATTATTGTAATAAGAACTACACTGACCAAACGTGAACAGTACCTAATGACATCATTTGTTTCAATAGTATAACCGCACTAATTCTAGCCCTAGCGCTTACGGTAGTCCTAAACCTAGCCCTTGCTTACGCCCCTATAATTGGCCCTAATTTCTACCTCACTCCTAACCCTGAAATAAAATATCGTATCCGGTTTTTTTTAAACTGTAAACCATTCTGTAATATCCTGACACCCGATTCTTTTTCTTTATTTTTTCGATAGTTTGTTCGTGTAAACTTTAACACAGTAGCTATTTTTTTTTTAAATTTGTTGGTTGATGGATTAGAATACGAATGGCAATGCAGTCATTAATGATCGAAATAACCATTGGTCATATCTTTGATTTTTAAAAGAGACCTTCATGATTTCATTCAGAACGAGGCGAAATAATTATGTAACCTTAATTCCCAAATCGTGATAATCATGGTCTAGTATTCAATGTATAAGTCATATATTTTTTATAACAATCTGAGGAAACAAAGAAAAAAAACTTAAAAATCTGTGGAACTGATGACAGCAGAGATGAACTCACCGATGGTAGTGATGACAGTCACGGCGAACAGCACGGCACCAGCCCATGACCACTTGTAGTTGGGACCGTTGTCTTTACCATACAGGCCACACCAGCTGCCGTCGTAGGCGATGGCCAGGGTGTTGTTCCTGAAGGTCTGTAGGACGCTCTGGAGCTGGATGATCATCAGCTCCCTGGGGGGGGGGGGGGGAAGGGGGGCGACAAGGAGAATAGCATATCAATATATTGAATATCACAAAAGTATTTTGAATCATAGAACGTTACTGAGTCAACCCAGCCCTGATGGGTATTTCAATTCAGGTTATGGAAAGACGGCTGGGTATAGTATTGACCACTCCAGCCCTTCATATCCCGAGGTTACAGAAAAAGGTGAACTCTACTTCAATTACTCCATGAACCTTCGTGTTCGAAAGAGATGTTTCATTTATTGCGACCAGCACATAAACAACTTATTAAAAAATATATTTTACTTTACAATCATTTTTAAAGTCTTGATATTATGTATAAATATAGTATAAACACAATTTTAACAGTTTTCAATAAAGAAAAATTAAGGTTATATTGTGTGTTGAATACGAAGTCTCATATGAAAGTTTATCAAAGGCTGGTTGCCCAACTGCCAACTGTAAAGTTCTTTCAATTCAACCATATAGAAATCGTCTAAACGCAATACCTACCAACAATGCAGAATGATTGAAAAGTTAGTAATCAAGAGATAAAAAATAATTATTTACCAAAAATGGTCTTATGCGATTGGATTTATGTTTTTTTATGTTATTCGATATAAATAGTAACGACTAAATCATTACATTGTTTACAAAATTAAAAGTAATAAATACCCTTCCAACTTAAAGTTACAAGTGGAATTACGGGCTTGGTGTTTTTACTTATATTACAGAGTAATTTTGAAATATTTTTATATAGAATGCGATTTAAATTTTTGTTAGGCTTCGTTTAATCTTTACAGTTTACTTTATAGATTTAAAGCTCGTCTTTGGCGACTGTTTCTTTCGCTAAAGCATGTGGCCGTTGCTTTTTCTTGTGACTTAGATACACATGCAAGACATGGGAGGAATGATGATAGCTTCAGAAACATTTGTTAATCAAGGACAGTCATTTATCTACCTCTGAAGCTGTCATGACGTCATGTCATCAGACCCGCATCTCGTCTGTCGACACGTCACTACGTTTGACATTACATCACCATCTCACCTGCGGTCTTGACGTCCCGACATCAGACCTCCATCTTACCTGCCGTCAAAACGTCACGACCACCGACCGACCCCCATCTCACCTGCCGTCAAAACGTCACGACCCCCGACCCCCATCTCACCTGCTGGCGTTGGTGGTTATCGCCCCTCCGTAATCATAGAAGATCTTCATGGTGGAGCTGATGGTCTTGCTCTCCATGGGCTCGTACTCCGCCCTGGCGTCGTAGCAGATCTGCTGCTCGTTGTTCTTCTCCAGGTGCTCAAAGATGAACCCCCCGGCCACACTGTACAGCACGACCATGGAGCACAGGCCGATGTGGGAGAAGAGAAACTTCATCACCATTTTACAGCAGCTGTCTTTTTTTGCCGGGGCCCCCATTTTTCTCGAATTTTTAAATAAAACACAATAATTTTTCGAAAATTGTTCTTAAATCTACAATAAACTTGTTTTTTTTTTCCTTATTTGTTTTTATAATTTCATCAGATAGTGGATTATAAAATTAATATTTAAAAAAAAAAATCAGAATTAATAGTTAATCCAAGAAGCACAGCACAGGTGATAGGTAGAGTAAAAAAGCGGCGGCAAGCAGACGGCTATCAGCAGACTACCGGTGTTTGGCGCCAGCCTCTCTGTGACATAGCTTGTCCCCATAAGCGCATGGATACATGGATTTATCGATCGGCCAGTTCCGTTTCCAACTAACTAAAGTGGCAATATGGCGAATTTAATAATCCCAATTTAATTCCATTAAATTATCTAAGCACTTAACTGCCTGTTTAATCTAGAATAATATTTGGAATGTAAGTTTAGAATATTTAAATATTTGTGACCGTGAAAGAAATAATATTTAGATTACGGGAGACGATTCTTTCAAATATAATCGCTACAATACATCTTCGATTAATTGATATCAAAGGTCGAAACGTTATTTAATATGTTTATTGTTTTCTTTGTTCCGTTTTTTAAACTTTCTTTTGTGTGTCTTTGTAACATGATCTCTTGAAGCAAGAATGTTTCGCTGACTGTTTTTGAAATGCTAAAATATGAATGAAGTGCTCTCTTCAGAACGAAGTGAATTTTAGATCCGTAACCAAGAAAGCACGTTTAGAAATTTTTACAACGGCTTTTAAATAATTTTGTGAATATTTTGTGAATATTGAGAGAGAAATTAAGAATGTATTTTTATAATGTATTCTTATATAATGTTTTTAAAAAAAATTATTTAGGTGTAAACAAGTGCTTTGAAGAGATGTGGACTTGAATAATGTCAGGTTGAAAAAATAATGTATGGCCCTTAAGTTTGATCAGATAAGACGAGTGTGTGAGTGAGCGGGTGTGTGGGGAAGGGGAAGGTTTTGTTCTTCAGCTGTCTGAGTCAACTTGTCACGTAGGAAATACTAACTTTATGTGGGTGATCTCAGATGTTCTGATTGTAGAACTTTGTTGGTCCTATGTTGGTGATTTTTTTTTTTTTACAGAGAAGAATCAAGGACGTAACTAGATTTTTTTTATCCATGAACCAAGACTTAGTTTTACGTTCATAAATCAGTACGCACCAAAAGGGGCTCAGAGTGGTCGATCGAGTAACGTGTTGTTGCTACGCCAATAAATTATAAGTTCAAACCTTTAGGCTCGTTAAAAACGGACAACAACCCATCTAGGAGAGCAAACATGGAAAACTCAGAAAACCAACTCTGGCAGCTCCTGCGACACTTCTGATACCAAACTGTGTAGAAAATACCTCACCATTGGGTCTATGACGACTGTTACTGGGGGTGAGCCGTGATGCATGTATACACCTGGCTCTTCTCAACTTCCTGCTCAGGCCTTGTACTTGGATTTACAAAGCGCGTCATATAATTCTTTTTCAATATGGAGCCATGTTAAATTATGTTGTGTGTTAAGTACTACACACCTAAAATATGGCACCATAGTCTAATAAACCATTCGATGATTGCGCAATGGAAATACAATCACAAAGCATGCAGAGCCAGATGTTGCACCTATGTAGGACCTCCTCGCTTCACACAGCTGATTGACAACTTGGAATCAGTTAACTCGCAGGAGCTGCAGAAGGGAAATTAGATAATTAGGTAATCATATCGCCAAAGGGACTCCATCCTTGTTTGATTTCGGAGTTTTCTCTCCTAGATAGATATAAACAGCAACAATGACACCAGGAATTAATTTTAAAAAAAAACAACTTGTTATTAATTTAAATTTCATAATCTAAGTGTGTCAAGCCTTATCTGCCCTAGGGTTTGAACTCAGGACTTACCCGCCCGACTACTCCAACCCACCTAAAACGGTTCGAAATTAAGGTAGTATAAACCTTAGGTCGTACCCACGTAATGTAGTTTTTTAGAACAAAATCTCGAATTTTCGTCCAATAATCGTGTGAAAAATTTCTACCTTTCGGGAATAAGTTTCAGCCATCCACCTTTCATGCACTAGAGACTCGCCTTTGTGTTACATGAGCTACTGTCTTGTTGTATTTTTTACATGTGTTTTTTAACTAGCTTCACAAATTTGAAATATAATTTTTTTATTGTGACATTACAAATGCATCAATAGTAATACAACCGCTTTAATATAACAATTCAAAGTATTAGTTATTATGTTGCTGTGGCTGTTTTTTTTATTTATTTTTTTATTTATTTTTTTTATTTTTTTTTGCTAGCATTACTACGATAATCAGATCATTAAGCTAAGAAGTATAAAAAAATAACAAACTAGATTCCATATTAAGTCACCCTTTTGTTAAACGAATATTCAACCTTATGTTACGTTAATCCCATCCCTATTGCGTGCCTCCAGCACAAACGTTAGCATCAAACAGCGAACCCAGCTTTTTCTGGCATTCGCTAGTTCTCCGAGACTTCGCCGATAGCTGGGGCGCGAGTCACGGCCCATTGCTTTGGCTGGTGACGTCATTGTGTTTTCCGTTCAATGAGGAATCGATACCAGTCGATGGAGATGGAGGTTATCGACACGCCCAAGTGTCGGCCATGCAGGCTGAAAGAAACCTCACCCAAACCTGTCGGGAGATTCGAATCGATATATTTTAAACATCGCCCGATACTCAATTATTTAGAAGCTGCGTCTTTTGTGTTGTAAATTTATTTAATTTTTGTGAGAGTAGAATACAGGGAGTGAGGTAAATAAAGGGGTAGGAGGGGAGAGGAGACAAAGGTGGGAGGAGGGAGAGAAGAGAGAAAGGTGGGAGGAGGGAGAGAAGAGAGAAAGGTGGGAGGAGGGAGAGAAGAGAGAGAAAGGTGGGAGGAGGGAGAGAAGAGAGAAAGGTGGGAGGAGGGAGAGAAGAGAGAGAAAGGTGGGAGGAGGGAGAGAAGAGAGATAAAGGTGGGAGTAGGGAGAGAAGAGAGAAAGGTGGGAAGAGGGAGAGAAGAGAAAGGTGTTGCTGTTTATATCAAGTCTAAAATGATTCTGTCAACTGTAACAGGTTTTAAAACTAAAATTATGGAAAACTTCGCTCCATACAGTCAATACATTTAACATTGGCTTTACAACTACATCAGTTTCATGTTAAATTGGTTTCATGGCTGGCGTCTTTAGAACGTTGAAACTAAATTCATAGCTCAATTTCAATAACTAGCAATGTAGTTGCTTTTGACAAATGGCACATTTATACGTTTGTTCATAAGAGTATATATATATATATATATATATATATATATATATATATATATATATATATATATATATATATATATATATATATATAGGCCTATATTTCTAACAATTTGCAAGAAGATTTTTTTTTAGAAAACTAGACAGCTATTTATCTATGCAAGTATTGAATTCATTTGAAAAGGTTGAAAGAATATTGTTTTTTTTCTTAATTCAGCATCTCGATTGATTTATTGATTATTGAACAAACATGATCAACATATCGATCACATGGGCTTGCTGTTGTAATTTTTATCTCTATTTCTAATACAATACCAGCCTGATACGTTTCTTGACGTTAGATTTTTTAATTGAGCATCCTGCAATATTATCATGATCAGTGGTGTTAGAGCCCCGTGGAAGTAATGCTCCTATAGAAGAATCATTTGATTTCAACATCGTCCTGCACAGCGACCAAGTAGCCGCCTACACTTGATGCAAACAGTTTGATAAACAACGTCAAAAGTTAAATCTTTTAAGTCAATGTAAGACAGTACTGTGGGATAGACACTTATTTTTAGTAGACACTTATTTTATTGAAACTATTTTTTTTCACCACAAAAATCAGACTCGATATATCTATTTTTTTGTTTTATAAAATGCTTGTATGTTCGTGTTCATGGTTTAATATTTCAAACTCCGTCACTCAGTTATGGATATAAATTTCTTCCCAACTCTGCGAATAATTATATTCCCGACGACAATGCAATAATGTCTAAATTTCAATCTTATTAGTTCAAAAAAAAATAATTTTGGAACATGCACAATAACGTTTATAAATAGTGCTTATAAAACTTTAAACTTGAAAAACTGTTAGAATAAATGAGATTATGAAAACAAATTATCAAATAATATAGTGATACATTTCTCAGACTAATTTCTAAACAGAAATTCAATTACGTTAAAAATATTTTCAACTCGTTAAGTCGCCGAACGGGATTAGAGCAAAAAACATCGATAACGTCAGGTATCCGGGACTTTGTGGGGACAACGGCATCACATCGAGGCTGGCGGCAAACAGCGGGTCGTCTGATCATTTGACGTCTGCTTGTTGTCCAGACACCCACCTGCGGTGCTGTGATTTTATGGATTAGTCGTTAACTCTAACTCGTTTGATTAATCGTTAAGTTGAGTGATCGTTAACTTTAACTCGGATATTTTCTAAACAACTGAAACTAGATTTTTACATTTTATACCGATTTTTTTAATTTTTAAAAATATATTTTTAATTTTGAATAAGCTTTATTTTTGTGTGAAGTGATCATGGGGGCCCCGGCAAAAAAAGACAGCTGTTGTAAAATGGTGATGAAGTTTCTCTTCTCCCACATCGGCCTGTGCTCCATGGTCGTGCTGTACAGTGTGGCCGGGGGGTTCATCTTTGAGCACCTGGAGAAGAACAACGAGCAGCAGATCTGCTACGACGCCAGGGCGGAGTACGAGCCCATGGAGAGCAAGACCATCAGCTCCACCATGAAGATCTTCTATGATTACGGAGGGGCGATAACCACCAACGCTAGCAGGTGAGATGGGGGTCGGGGGTCGTGACGTTTTGACGGCAGGTGAGATGGAGGTCCGGTATCGTCACATCATGACTGCCGGTAGGTGAGATGCGGGTTATGACTTCATGATATCATGACAGCTAGTGAGATATGGGTCGGGGGGTCAATACGTGTCATGACGACAGGTGAGATGGGGGTCGGGGAGTCGTGACGTTTTGACGGCAGGTGAGATGGGGGTCAATATGTCATGACGACAGGTGAAATGGGGTCTTGACATCATGATATCATGCCGGCAAGTGAGATATGGACCTGAGGTCATAACATCTGGATGGTTAACCTTAGAACTCACACAGTGGTTACCTTGTTCAGGGAGAGAGATCTTAATATTATCGCTATGTTAAAGGACGCCAACGGACCTATGACATTGCAAATGCTCGCATAAACGTTGGCACCATGTCATTGTGTGTACGGTAAAGGCAGATGTTACCCTGGTGGGTAGTTTTAACTTGTGCGTCTACAGAGAAGGACTACATGTGGGTTATAGATAGACTACATGTGGGTTATAGATGAATGGACTACATGTAGAATAAATGGACTAAGTGTAGGTTATAGAATAAATTACTACTCACGGTTATAGGCAAATGGGCTACGGTTGTATTGTACAGTTACAACTAACACAGACAGGTGGATAGAATCGTTGCTTACTTTATGAAAATTGGTACAATACATACATTCGCGCCGCTGCTGTACCTTCTGGTGGGTACTCTGAGTATCTACATTATGTTAATTTAATTAAACTAAAGGCCAGCATATTTTAGAGCTCTTGTTAAAGAACTGGCATCTGATCATAATTTTACCAACTACCTTTACGGGCACGTTTTCAGCCAACTAACAAGCATATTTTCTCTTTATTTGATATTTTGTCCAACTCTTTCACACCGGTAATGGGCATGTTTTTATATTTTAAAAAGTGCGTATCGTGTGTTTTACACTGTTTTCCTGCATTTGGAGTCGGGGTTTCTTTCAGGCATCTATTTGCACGTCTGCTGTCCTGCTAACCGGAAATTCGAAGTGCCCCCCCCCCCCTTACACATTTTCTGAAATAAAACGCTAGTGGGGAAATTTCTCACCTACAAAGCGAACCTAAGGTATTAATTACAATAGGTTCCAGTCTTGTCTGAGTCGCACGGATTAGAACTCCAACCTCAGCCATCGTTAACACTAGACAGGTGCAAAGTTTTTGTTTGCCTACATCCCCAGCCTTACTTAAACTCTACCGACCCTGCTTTACTTAACATCTAAAGATTATTGCCTTACTTAAATCTAAATCCAAGCACAATTTGGACACACACTCGTTGAGGTTAATAGCTTTTAAAATCTAGTTATCGATGATTAATTATTTGTGAAAAGTGTATTGCTAATATGGATGAACTACTAAACTACTATATTTATTGACGCTTAATTAAATCTATTGATAGTTTGCTAATATATTTACGTGCTATTAAACATATTGATTTGCTGTTTTACTCTACTGATGTGTTTTAATATTTCATGAAGTGCTGTTAAATCTGTTGATTGGTTTTTTCAATCTAGTGATGTGTAGTTATATATCATTATGCTTTGTTAAATCTGTTAATTCGTTAAACCTATTGGCATGTTGATTTAACTGTTGTTCGCCTCCCCCCCCCCCAGAGAGCTGATGATCATCCAGATCCAGAGCGTTCTACAGACCTTCAGGAACAACACCTTGGCCATCGCCTACGACGGCAGCTGGTGTGGTCTGTACGGTAAAGACAACGGTCCCAACTACAAGTGGTCATGGGCTGGTGCCGTGCTGTTCTCTGTGACGGTCATAACTACCATCGGTGAGTCTCCGAGTGGTCATCTACCCTGTTAACCACAGATATCACGACTTGAACTAGCAGGATCGTGTTGCTGTATTCCGAGCCTATCCCGTAGTGTGTTCAATGGTCGTGACATTTTAAACAAACCATCATCATCTTATTCCAGTTCGTGCCCAAGACACATGGAGCAGATGAAGTAGTTCATCTGTTTCAGGGACCTCGGCATATTGAAAGGATAGTGTGGTCAGATACCCATCAAAGCCGAGTGGACTCAAGGACGTTTTACTGACTTAAACCAGGATTCGAACTCGAGTTATAGTCACATAGCAGTCTGGGGACTTTCTACTACTAGGCCATCCCGTCCCCAAAACAAAACCATATTAGGTTTTAAACATGTTCTTTAAAAGCGCCCAAGCGGATTAGCTTTGCAGCTAGTTATCAACGAAAACCCGAAGGACTTAATGTATATATCAAGAGTTTAACTCTACTCTTAACCCTGACAAACAAACAAAAACTTAATCTTCACCCAAGCGCTAACTGAATACTAATTCAAATCCCTAACGTAAAATTAACAGCAAGAAAAACATATTTGATAAGTAAATATTTATTTTTCTACGGTTTTTTTTCTCTTCATCAAACCAGAAAATAATTAATATAGAATTAATTTAGAATCATTAAGTACTCAGTGACAAGTCGACCTTATACCACAATGTACACAAAAAAAAACATACATAAACACAGTGTAGGATATAATTCAGTTGATATGAACTTAAACCACAATATGGAAAACGACTATTTAAAATATAGTCTTATATAGCAGGAACGTAAAACATTCCCTTAGTAAATCCTTACCATTGTTTGTCAACTTCTAAATAATAATAAACCGGGAGTGATCTCCCCTAAACTTTCTCGAATATTCTTATATAAAATAACAGGGGATGGGAACTCGGGCTATAGACATGATTTTTAATCCATTTTAAATACTTAAAGTTTTAAAAATAGAATAAAATCTCGTAGACAAATTAATTGCACACCAAGTGAACGCGAATAAAAAAGCGCATAATAGTGCGCAATATTATTAGTACTTTTAAAATTTACATTAGTTTTTTGAGAAATCGGAAGTAGCGTAAATAAGTACTTCCGGTCAACGAAAAATTCTCAAAATTTGACAGAAGGTAGAGAATTAGATCTTTTACTTACATATCAAATTTCATTTATCTATCTGAAATAGTACTCAAGTTATAGGCTTTTGAAAAATTCAAAGTAGAAAAAGTACCACTTCCGGTTATCCGAAATCGCTCAAAAGTTGATACGGATCTACGATTTTGATAAAATACTTATATATGAAATTTCATCAACCTAGCTGTAACGGTACTCAAGTTATCGTGTTTACACACGGACACACACACACACAGACACACAGACATACGGACAGAATTGCAGAGCCCAGTTTTTCAGACTGGAATACGCATAAAACCTTTTAATTTTGATAAATCTGGATTGATAATTTTTGCCCGATTAAAATAAGTCCTCTATACTTCGGATGTGATGAAGGACTGAGGTGTAATACGGTGAAAATAGTTAAAATTTCAAGTGATTTTTGTGCACGATTACAATACTTTCTCTATACTTCGTATATACGAGAAAGTAAAAAGGCGTGTGCTTAAATTTCAAAGACACGATTCTGAAAACAAAAGAGACAGCGTTAGTTAATGACGTAAACAGGTCGCCGTTGTCTAAGAAAGGGCTTGTATATTACTGTATTTTAAATTATTTTTTAAAATGACTACTGTAATGTAAAATGGGCTAACTTTATATAAAATCTCTTAGATTAAAAGCCTGCAATTTTACTAACTGACCTAATAGTGTAAGAAAGACAACCGCTGTACAACTAGATTACCGTAAAAATAATAGGGCTACTACTTTACAAAATGACAAAAGAAGATCAGTGGCGGAACTGGGAAAAAAGGCTCCCCCGCAAAAAAATTTTTTGGGTCCCCCCCTTATATGTAAGTGTATATATATATATATATATATATATATATATATATATATATATATATATATATATATATATATATATATATATAGATATAGATATAGATATAGATATAGATATAAATATATATATATATATATATATATATATATATATATATATATATATATATATATATATATATATATATATATATATATATATATATATATATATATATATATATATATATACATATACATACATACATATAAGTAGTCTGCTTCTCTAATTTTTAAATAGTCTATTACCTGTGCATTTTAATCTATTTTATTGCAATGTATAACCACTCTGAGATAACGAACCAGACAAAAATAAGTCCGAACTCATTTCGGGCCCGCAATAATCGTGTTTTTTTTTTTTTTTTTTTGATTACCATCAACTTTAATGCAATCTTAAATTACAATTTTTTGACCCTAATACAGTTTACTTCTTGGCAGTCTTCTTTTTTTTTAAGCTTCTTGGGCTTAGCTGGGGCTTTGCGCTCTGCTTTCCACAATCTACCATATTCTATGTTGGTTAGGCGATTACAAGCCTGCTTTGCTTTCATTAGCTTGAACCTCTCAAAATGCGTCAATTCGGCTCTCCTTTGAGCTCTAGCTAGTTTCTTGGCCCTGGTGGATTGCTCCCACTTCTTTGTTATCTCTTCTTTCTCCCAAGCTTTCTTAACTGTTCCTGACCTAGCAGAGGGTTCAATGTTAATTGTAAACTGTGTAAGATGGAGTGCTTTAAAATTTAAATCTTTGCGACCCACATCTGAGAAAGGGCTATCTACAGGAGCTCTGTTTTGGTCAATGACATCAACAATTGCAACTAATTTGGCTTTTATCATCTCCATGGGCAACATAGGCCACACGGCCAATCTCAACAAATCTATTGTAAGGCATATAATCGTGTTTTATAAATGTTTACTGAAAATTGTGTCAAAAAAAGAAAAAAAAGGCAAGCTGGTCAAAATTATATAAACACGTAAGCTTGATTTGTGCAATGGTTTCTCGCGTTATGTTTATTTTTATGATTTTTTGTATTTATATTATTAGTTTTGAATACATTCATTTTTATAGCTATAGGATTCTTTAGTATACTTTATTTAAATAATAATAAAGAGAATACATTGCTTTTTAATTTACATAGTACAAAACTATTTAAATGAGCTTTATGGGCACCCGTGTTTTAATTAAGGGCAGAAAGTCATGGAAGTAGTCTGAACTTTTGCCTATCTTTCAAAGTACAGCTCTTGTAAATTTTATATTTTTCTACGCAACAGTGTGTGTTAGTTACTGTAGAACAATCACTGCTAGAGTAGACCTGTTTTTTTTTCTTTACAAAACCTCTATCAAGGTGCACGAAAAACATTATTTATGAAAAGAAAATTCATTGTGTTTTTTTTGGTCGGAATTGGGCCCCTAACGTCGTGCCCCCCCCCCCCCCCCCCCCCCCCCGCATTGCGGGGTCTGGCGGCACTGTACTTCCGCCCCTGAAGAAGATTCTATTTTACAAAAGGACTAAAGTAGGCCTATTCTAACAATAAAAAGGGTTACTATTTTAAAAAAAGACTACAGTATTCTAACATAAAAAATGGCTACAATTTTACAAAACGACTACATTATTCTAACATTAAAAATGGCTACAATTTTACAAAACGACTAAATTATTCTAACATTAAAAATGGCTACAATTTTACAAAAGGACTATAATATTCTATCTTTACAAAGGGCTACTATATTTTACAAAAGGACTACATTATTCAAACATTACAAAGGGCTACTATTTTACAAAACGACTACCAACAATACAAAAATCGCTGCCGTCTTAACTTAGCACTGCAGCTGACCCTAGATGTGGAAAAGAAATTAACTATATAGGATCGATAACAGAAAACTTGAGAAGAATCGTTTGGAACAGTGGACAAAGTTCTGTAACAATCAATGCAAAAACAACTGTAATCGATATTGGTTTCTTTTAAATCGATACTGCTTTGTTCATCGTGGGTTTTTAGATGTTGTTTTTACTCAATTTGTACACAAAAGTTCTGAAAAAAATTCAATCTTATTCCGCAGTTTGAAGTTTATTGATCACATTTTTTTAAAATATAGATTTATGTTTTGGGATGGGAGGGGGATGTCACTTTAAAAACGTAGTAGTTTAACACAGGCTTTAGTTTATCATTTGATAGTACCTCCGCCCTTAATCATACCCCCAATATATCAGTGTTTCAGACAGACATTTTTCTAAGGGTGGGGTGGGGGGGGGGGGGGATCACTTGAAATATTCGGTAGGGACCGAACTTAAATTTTAGGGGGGATGAGAGAGCAGACACTGGATGAAGTATATATTTTGTATATAAATTTCTCAAACTATGACTTGGTGGTTTATGTCAGTTGTACTAAACTAAATGTTTTAATTTCAAATAATGAATAATGGCCAATGTCAATTCAACTAAACATCATGATTCCATATAGTAATAGGTCTATTTATGTGCTAGTTACGATAAGCTTAATGTTCGTGTAAATAGTTCAAATGTTATCGTGATTTAGGAGTAAAAATGCACTGTGAATTTTAAATATTACTTAAGTAAAATGCGATGTGAATTGAATTCAAAATGTTGATTAAGATGTGTATACACAATGTATACTCAAAATGATGGTCTAATGTCTATAAGATTCCATGTCTCTGACTCTTGTCCTTACAGGCTATGGTCACATAGCACCCAAGACGGTCTAATGTCTATAAGATTCTGTCTTTAACACCTGCAGGCTATGGTCACATAGCACCCAAGACAGTCTGGGGCCGGCTGGTCTGTATCGCCTACGCCGTGCTAGGGATCCCATTGATGCTGCTTTGTTTGGCCAACTTGGGAGACGCCCTGGCTGACATCTTTCGCTTCATCTACGCCAAGATTTGCTGCTGTGGGTGCTTCAAGGGGAAGAAGAAAAGTAAGGAGAGCAACAACAAGGTGGGGAACTTTCTTTTATTTTCATTACTTTGTATTTTATTCTATTTGCTGTTTTTTTATCAGCTTTATCGGAACTATATCTTAATTTTTAAATAAACATTCAGAAAGTGTTTAAGAAAAAATGTGGTAAATTATAATTTAATGTATAGCGAGGACTTCTCATTTAGTAGGAAGGACAGTAGAGTATCATATCAAAGTGTTGTTTTCTATCGATGCCGCAGTTTGGGAATTGGGTTAAAATCATATTCATTAATGATGTCAGTATTAAGGAAAGGGTCAAATGTTACGGAAATGCTCAGTATGGTCTATCGATAATGAGTCCCATTACTAAGTGGGGGGGGGGGGTGCGGGGGTAGGACCTTGTAACATGGAAGGAGAAAGTTAGATTCGATAGTATTAGGCCACAATTTGTATGTTTAAAATTAATTACTAATATGCATTTTATCAGTTAATTTTTATCATTATTTATATTTTAATTTTATATTGTGTCAATTTTCTGAAAGTATTTCAATAAACTTAACATCGAGTGACTAAAATGTTCTAATTTAATTAAAAAAAAAATTACTAGTGATTATTAATGTTTACGGCTAATTCTATATCTAAATTATTTTCTCCGTTATTTTCCTTTCAAAGGAAAATAACTCCATCTATATTTTTGACAAAATAGCAACCCAGCTTGGTTATATCCCCTTACGGAATTTTAAACAAATTGAGAGTCGGGTTAAGAGTGGCGTCATGTTGGGGGGGGGGGGGGGGCATCATTTTGTGACGAAGTGGGACAGTGGGTAAGGGAAGATTTGTATAAATTTACGAATCAGCGCGATTTTTTTTTATTGATTTCTCTTTAAGGTACTAGATAGAGATATCTCATTTAAGCCGTATTGACATTCCACAGTGTACCAAAATAATACTTACTTATTAATAATATTATGAGCAAACAAGGTTTGCAATACCTTGTTCTTTGTAAATAAATAGTAATTCTAAACAATATACAGACATGGGGATGGTTAAATGTTTAGTCTACTATTATAAATAAGAGACTTAACTCTAAGTTTAGTACTGTTGCTAAATACTAGAAGTTTGGCACTTTATTGTTCTATTGATAGAAATTCTAAACTCTACGGTATGTTCAGGTGATGTCGATGAAGGACTCTGGAAGTAGCAACACTGGGCAATGGGACTCCGACAAACAAGGTCTAACAGGTAAATTGGTTTACAGGTATAGCAGGTAAATAGGTTTAAAGATCTAACAGCTAAACAGGTATACAGGTATATGAGGTAAATAGGTTTAAAGGTATAATAGGTAAGTAGGTTTAAAGATCTAACGACTAAATAGGATTATTGACATGAGTTCCCAAAGACATAAATTCAGTTTTGATGTCAACCCTTTAACAATAATGACAATGACAACGGTAAAGATAGCTATAATAAACATTTCCATAACGATAACGATAAAGCAATGATCACAACAATTAATACAACTTTGACACTAGCAATAACAAAGAGAATAACAATGATATGCCAATGACGATAAAAGTAAACGGAAACGACAATGACAACGAAAACAATTACAATTACTTTTACAATGAAAACGATAATTTTTCGGAAAAAGAGGAAGAGGAGATTGTTGATAATGATAATAATGGTGATAGTGGTGACGATAATGATGATGACAAATACAACTACAACTACTATGATTAAGTTTGAAGATGCCATTATTTCTTAGTTACGTTAATTAAACAAAAACTATTTTGTTCACACTGTAACTGAACTCTCAGGCGCGACCAACGCAAGTCCAGCGTCGTCCACCGAGTTCACGCGAATCTCCACCAGTTCACCAACAGACAGCATGGACATGAGCGACACCCGCAAGTTGAGACCCACCTCTAGCAACTCCAGTAGGGGCAAGGTACGTGTCGTCTGCTGAATCGTCTTCACGTTAGATTTCTTGAGATAGTTCAGTCAAGTGTAGCCTCTAAGGAGAAAAACGGCTGACACTATACTAATTCAATGGACTATTTTGGCATCTCTGTAGTAGAACCCATGTAAACCCGGCAGCCCTTGCTGTACCTTCCATGCTTCTTAACCCTAGTCAAGCGCTTACATCGCGATAATTTTATAATATCTTCATTAGTCATGTGGGCTTTAATATCCCTGGCCATTATGTGGGCTTTAATATCCCTGGCCAAAATGTGGGCTTTAATATACCAGGCCAAAAGGTAGGCTTTTAATTTTATATCCCTGTCAATGGATTGCTCACTCATGACAGGTGGCTTCTTGCCCATTTTTTTCTGGCCATTTTATCTTTAGTTTTAGATATCACAAGTTTTCAGTTGTGGGACTAATGCTTTTTTTAGCTGCACTTAAAGAAGTTGTTTTTGTAAGAACTCGGTTACTTCAATAGCATTTCAATATGATGCATAAGACGTAAACATGTGAATTATATAACCCGCAGCCTATTTAGGAACATGGTGTATGTTTACTTTTAGACTACATATAGATTACATTATTATAAGAATGTAAATACACACTTTACTTGTAAATGTGAGATTTTTTTATAGAAGCCATTTCTCGACTTAGCCTTTGATGTATAATTTTAGTTGATCATTTCCTGCAGGTGAAAATCGTCCCCCTGGATCTGAAGAAAAACGACCCTGTTATCTTAGACGACGATTCGGACAGCGACGACGACGACGACGACATCGACGAGAAGATCACCGTGCCCTTGACCATCACCATGATCGTCATCGGTGGCTACATCTTCGGCGGCGCCGTCCTCTTCGGGCTGTGGGAGGGCTGGGACTGGCTCCAGTCGGCTTACTTCTGCTTCATCACCTTGGCAACCATCGGTTTCGGTGACGTAGTTCCGGGCACGGACTTTGAGAACCCCCAGGCGCAGGCGCAGTTGCTGCTGGGAAGTGTGTACGTGTTGTTCGGTATGGCCATCTTGTCCATGTGTTTCTCGCTCATGCAGGAGGAGATCGTGGCAAAGGCTCGATGGATTGGGCAGAAGTTGGGGCTCGTAGACAAGGAAGCAGACGATTGATTGAGTCGATGCATCGCATAAGAAATCAATCAATAATACAAGTATTGTTGGTCCTTGTTCTGATTGGTTGTCTAGTTACCCAATCGCAATCTGATATTTTAAAACACTGTGATTTATACTAAGGTTATTTTTTTTTTTAAATTATGGTTTCATTTATGCTTTTTCTTGTTTAACATGAATGTAAATTATAAAAAATAATATTGAACCCTTATTTAAAAATCTCAGTGAACACTGCTGCTCATGTATAGAAAAATGTTGTTTTTTTTTTTGTTGTTATTGTATTTTTTTAAATAAATTTATTTCTATACACCAGAGAGGTGTGTCTGGGGAGGGGTAAGATGAAATCAAGAGTCCGTCCATTTGTAAGATATAATTTCTGGACCATTTTACAACTTTGGCTGTGTATTATGCCTGAAGCTTAAAAAATATTGTCTTTAATGAGATCATGATATAATATTACAGTTTACCGAAACAAATAACGTTTTCTATAATCCGCTGATTTATTTATTTTTTAAATTTTATTTTCAGAATATCTTAAACTTGTATTGACTTCACAAACTTTTTTGCTGCTGTCTTGTAAAGTTGTTTTTTATATCCAAAATAATAAATGTGTCACGATATTTTATTGAAAAGTGTACATATGTTTATTTTACTTGTAACAAAATTGATCAGTCTGCTTGTCCTCCACTCCTTTAATACCAAGATAGCTATCCTTCAGAGCATTGAACCTTCGTTCATGAGTTACATCAAAATACTACCTAAATAACTTAGCATGCAAGAATATCATTCACAAAGACATTTACAAAATTCACACAAAAAAACTGTAGTCAAAACTGTTTCCGAAAAAACGTCATTGCAACCATCACAACAACCATCACAACAACCATCACAAAAACAAAAGGCACCTACAGACCACTTGAGATTCTATCCCAGTAGCTACAGTACAGACATCACGCTGAGATCATAGTTCATAAGGTTATCAAATAAAATGTACAGTCGTCTTTTTTCAATGTCTTTCCCTGTTCATTTTAAAACTAATTGATTTTCATCACTGCTTATTATTTGATTGCTAAAATATTTACCTCGATTACTCTATCTCAATTAATGCACAATTAGATTTATATTTTTATTAATATTATATATATAGTGGTCTACTATTGAATCAATATATATATATATATATATATACATATATATATATATATATATATATATATATATACATATATATATATATATATATATATACATATATATATATATATATATATATATATATATATATATATATATATATATATATATATATATATATATATATATATATATATATATATATATATATATTTATATATATATTTAAAGTTTTAACTGGAAACAAAAGTGTGTATTACTGCTGAAAAAGTAGGGAAATTACGATTTAAATCTTAGTTAACTAATGCATCTAGTGAAACAAAACTAGAAAAATAAAAATGGTTAGATTGGTTTCATCACATTTTCTCTTTGTTACGTGTTTCTCTTTAAACTAATACAAGCAGTTTTTTTTTTAATAAAAATAAAGAAACTATATTGGTGTTTAATATCTGTATATGTAATGTTTAAATTATTGTGAATGTGATTGTTACAGTGGCGTAGTTCGGAATCGGAAGTAGGGCCTACATGGGAGGGGGCGGGGGAAGTGAGGTTTAGGTTTTGGGTTTAGGTTTAGATAATCGTTGCTTTAAAAATGCCGATAAAGAAAGCTATTACATTACTATCGTCTATTATGTTTAATTACCTAATTTGTTGCCCTTTCTCACTGTGTAGATTTCTGATTGTATAATAATAAACATAGCTACGGTTGTTTTAAATGTCCGAGCGTTTTTTAGTCAAAATTGCATCAGTAAAAAAAAAGAGCCAAACAAAGTTAACGAGTAGAGCAAGAGAAAGAGACGGGTAGAGAGTATAAGACAATAGAAGAGACGGAGAAACTATAATTTTAAACGAAAGAGAAAGACTACACAACATTAACAAAAAGAGACGCAAAGTTTAAGAGAAAAGAAAAAACTATAAATAATAATTTAACGAATAGAAAGCACAGCGGGGATTCAACTTGGATGGAGCTTCTGACTGAACTTTTATGGTAGAGAGTGTCACCCCTCCACTCCTTCCATCATTTTGCTTTTTTTGGATTGGTATCACCCGGTGCGGTCCGCACCCCACCCCCCGGCCCCCTCTCGCTACGCCACTCCCCCCCCCCCAAGAGATACATGATCAAATATGTAACATTTAGCCCAGAAGTATCAAGTAGGGGTGGTTGGTCGCTCAGCCGTTTAGACTGGAGGATGAGGAAAAGCCTCAGATTAAAAAATAAAATAAATAAATCAACTTAAATTTTTTGGCTAGACTGATCTAAAATGGTACACGCTATTTACAATCAACGGATCATACAAAAACACTTTAAAAGTACTCCACGCCCCATACAATATTTCATATAATTATATTTACCACTCGCTTTATTAGATAAGAAATGCACAATTCTCTACACAAAAGGAATTTTTCAACGGGGAGACCTTTGTTTTGTAGTCTCGACACTCTCACCCCTGCATTACTTTGGCATTTCCGTATCATGATATGCTTTTGTCTACCAAAGCGCTATTGTATAAAAAACTAGCCTCTTTGTCTCCCACAAATACAGACAAAATGGTCTCGAACCATATGTAGTTCATATTATTTTACATTTCACAGAATTGTTGTTCCATACCGTGGTGAGCCATAATCAACGTTTCCAACCATTTTTTTTTTCAAATTTATTAGAAAGTAAATCTAAATCAATATCTTTTCTGGTAGAATGCCGTTTCCACCTTATTTTAAATAAATCATTAAAGTAAACTAAGTATAACTTAAAGTCTTGTCATCAAAATGTAAGCGGTTAATGATAACAAAAACTAGAATGAAAAAATAATAGAAAATCATTCTATAACTAATACTCTAGATAAAATTAGCTTTGTTAAATTAATATTTGTTTAAAATGCACATTATTTAAAATAATTTTTACATTAAAATAAGCTGAATGGTTAATTCATTTTTATATTTATTTATTTTTAAATTATATTATGTTGTCTCCCTTGGATAAGTTTTGCTTAAGGGGGCAGTATCACCCAGACATTTGAAAATTGACGAAAAAATTTGCCAAAAAAAAACTATTACACATACACACATAATTTTTTTACCATAATAGTAATTAATTAGGAGCTATAAAACAGCACATAAAAGAAAGTTAATGTATGATGGAAACATTTTTTATAAATATTTTAACCAAAAAATTTTTACAAAGTAATTTGTGGCTGCGGTTTTCCAACATTTATGCCCATCCTGCTGAAAATACGCTGGGAGATGCATAACAGGATGGCCTATCGCTGGAACTAGAAGATATCCATTGTGGCAAATTTTGAAATTTTTAGAATTTTTCAAAGTCAAACCAAAAAAAATCGAACTTAGAAAATTTCTAAATAATGTATCCCTCATTAGAATCCTATGATTTTAGTTCCGACGATAGCCATTAACGCAAGGATGGTTTATACCAAATTTGAAGTACTTTACTTATGGTTTCGGAAAATTGTTTACACAAAAATTCAAAATGTAATAAAATATTAACAAAATATTTTTTTGCAAATATGTTGCCATACATATACCCAACAATTTATATACTGTATTATAGCAGAAGAAGCGTTACTACTGCTGTACAATTCTGACATATGTATGTCGAATAGTTTTTTTTTGGTGAATATTTTTGTTTTCTTCCCTTAGTCTGGGTGATACTGCCCCCTTAAGAAACTATCCAAGGGTAGTAACCGTGATTTTTTTAAAAAATGAGTCTGTAATTATTAATTATTGCCCGTTGTTTTGAAAACGTGAAAGAATGGGGCCCGCTAAGATGTCATGTAATTATTAAAGCTTACATAAAAGTTTACACTTCTCTATAAAGTAAAGTAAAGTAGTAAAGTTCCATTTTCAAACCTAACGGTCTATGGGGCAAGTGAAGTAAAGTTCATTTGTTTCTATGACCTCGGCATATGAAGAGATAGTGTGGTCAGCACTATGCCCAGCCGCCTTTACTTTCCTACCGTGAGTTAGGTACCCATCACAGTTGGGTGGACTAAGGGACGTTTCTACTGACTTGAGCCTGGATTCGAACTCAAAACTTACGGGTTAGCAATCCAGGTCTCTACCGCTACCGCTAGTCCCACTCTCTATAAACTAACCAGTAAATTAAGCACACACACACACACACACACATAACATACATGCACACATACACACACATTTATTGCCATGTCTAAATTTAAATGTTAATGTTTTATTACAGATGTTTTATTACAAAAAGTTGTAAGAAAAATTAAAGAGCGTTGCATAAATTCACTCAAAAAGGCAATGCGTACACGTTGACGTCATTCTAAAAATAAACGTGCACATTACCTGCCATTCCTCAGTAACACGATTCATTATACCAATACAATGAGCATCAGAGTCAAACCATTAAACACAACACCGCTTGTTAGTTAATGTCCCTCTCCCGGCGAAAAACAAGACTAAAATGATAAAATTCATATATACAAATATAAAAAATCGGGATAGTATCAGTAAGAGTATAACATAACTTCTTTTTTTTTTACACCGGCATAGCTAACTTACCAAAGCTTAACTTTGACTTAAAGGGAAAAAAATTGGGAAAAAAAAAAGAAAAGTGAAACAGAACATTGCATACAAGCACACAACATATTTACTACAACAATAAATGCCACCAGTACATGTTTAAATACAATGTACAGAGTCGCATATAATACTAAAAACCTAACTTCAAGTCCTAAGAATGTCATAAATAAGCATACTTCTAAAATTAAACCTTAATTTTAACCGAAATGTGACATGCTTTACCCATGTCATTAGTACCCGGATCAATTACCTCCTCTCAATTACCACCATGCGTAATTACCCCACTTTAGAATACATAATAAAATATACCAATAGTTATACCTGTCTTTCCCCATAGACATCTCCAATCCCTAACCCTGTTCCTAACAAAAAACCTATGCATATCCTTAACCTTCACACACTTATATA